AGAAATGAAACTAAAAAGAAAAGTTTCTTGCCAGGTAAATCTCAATTAGTAAGGTTGAAATCGAGTCTATTGCAAGCATCATAGTAGAAGGATGAAGTAGTCTAAGTGTTTTACGCGACAGGAGATTAAGAGATGGAAATGGTGAAGGAAGAAGAGGTTTTATCTGAATAGGAGCAATAATTTGAACCAGTTAGACCAACAATGAAAATCAGTAAGATGAAAATAAAGTTGGATCTTTTGGAGATGGTTTTGGTTAATGACATTAATAAATCATTTGCTCCATTATTACTGTTTAGATTCAATGTCAAGAAATTTATGTTTGATCAGAATGGAATTAGTAAAGCAATTAGATGTTTATTCTAAATTGAATTGATGTATTTCAATCCAGTTGCCAGTAAGATGGAACCCATTATAGAACCATATCTATCAGAATTATTCATAGTTTAATAAAATCAATCCATGCAAACCATTCACATTAATGGACTGACACCAATTTTGGACATGAATCTATCCACTGACATGATACTCAATCTATACAAAACATTGACTTAATGGCAATAATTAGAATAAGATGATGAAGCAGCAACCTTTAGAAGAAATGAATCCAAAAAAATTACTAGGTTATCCAGTATGAAAGGTATATCATTTAAGGAGAACTAAGATAATGTGACTCTCTTTTCATTCATTAATAAGAGTGGGTATACTCTAAAAGTGTAGAAGAATGGGAATGAGGGATTAATAGAAATCTCCAACAATGATTCTAAAAATTATGAAGTACAATCTCATGATGAGGATTATGCTAAGACCTTTGAGAGTGATACAAGACTCATAATTAAATTTCTTGATTCTAATATGGTATAAAATACGATCAACAATGTTCCTATCAATTATGCTGGAGTTAAAAAACTATAATGGAATGATTAGACTTAATATTATGTGCTCAGTACCTAAATTGAAAAGTTGTAGAAAACAATCACCATTTATTCTCCTTACATGTTTGTTAATCAGACTGATTGTGATTTGTCAATCAAATTATCATGTATTAAAATCACTAAAACCTTTACACTCAAACCAGGTGAATAAGCAGCAATGCCATAAGAATTGTATAAAGATGATAGTTTTATTGTCATTCACTTCTTGGATTCCAAATACATCAAATTAACTTAACCAAACGAACCCATATTTATTAAAAGGATATTCCATGACATAACAATATAAATACTCCACTAGCCATGCTATACATTAGCCACTCTCAATACAACCTTGGTTTAAAATGTCAAATATATTGAATTCAAACCTGCCTTCATTCTATACAATTTATTACCAGTCCCTCTTCAGTTTTTGTTTCATTCCAATGAAAATCCAGATCTACAAAAACTCATGATTAACCATTATAAAAAACCAGGTACTACCATTCAATATGATAAACAATAATCAGGATTTTCTAGAGGGAACTCCCTTTCTCATTTATAAAATGATTAAAATGAAAACCTCGCAAGGTCTGTCACAGTCACAGAAATCAATTAAACAGCAACAATCAAGGTTGAAGCTGGCCTAATTGAATTAGTTCCTTAAGGGGAATTATAATTGCATTGGTTAAAGACTGGTGACCACCTGGGAATCAATTTACATGTCAGTGGATTCGAAATAAGTTAATAACAGGATATCATGTAAGCTACCGAATTTGAATTGAAGGACACTTGCAATAGTTAAAGTTGCCACATCAAAGTAGAAAAAGAGCAGGTGAAATAAACCAAATTAATTTATTTTTCAGTCCAAACTTGTATTATAAACACAACTAGTCGGGGGTTGAAATATTACACCTTATAAGATAATAAGCCCATAATTTTATCTGGACAAAATAAAGAACCTAAACCAGACAAGGAATGCTTTGAAAGTAATTATGAGAAAATATAAATTACTGATACAATTAAGTATCTAATGATTGGAGTGGATGATTGTATTTCCAACGAAGTTAATGTAGGTATTTTAGGCTCATTGGGTCTGTAATTGAAGGAAAAGAACGGAGGTATGGTTTCATTAAATGAGTTTGGTATCCACATTTCTTTGGCAAATAATGTGATACGAAAGGGGGTTTATACTAAGGTCATTGAAATAATGCCAAGATTTGTTATAATCAATAACACAGGGGTACAAATTAACATATGTTAATCTGGATATGAATCATAACCAAAAAAAATGAATCCCAATAAGCGATATCATTTAATTTGGCCTGATTGTAGGTTAGAAAAATCAATACGAATTTAAAAGTATGGCAAATACAATTGGAGCGGAGACTTATTCATTAATGAAATCAGAAGTACAAATTTCTTTTCTTCTGCTATCAATGAAAATAGCTAATAGATGAGCAATCTCTCCATCGAATAACAGAAGAGTCGAATATTTGAAAAATCAGGCATTTATAAGTAATTCAATCTAAAGAAATATGATCCTTAGGAATTTCTAAATTATAAAGAATCCTTACCTTTATAAGCCTCAATGGTATGTTCATCAAGTTAGGAGTTCTTTAAAGATTGTCTGTTCCTGACAGCTGAAATCACAAAGGTCAAAGCCACTAATTTTATTTTATTGGAATAGCAACATGAGGAAAATCAACTCTACAAACTAGTCAACAAGTGTCGTCCATTTAAGATTCATTACGGATAAGATAGCTACAATAGCTTTTAAGAATGGGTATTGGATTGTGATTAAACGGTGCCTTTTTCATGGGAGCAGCCAAGTCATTCTTTCAAACTTAGAGTTAAATTCGTCTACAATCAAAAGATTGAACATGTTGAAATCATTGACTTTTAATAATAGGAAAGTCTTTAGGAAATCAAGTTTTCAAATTATTTTATTTGGATCAAGTCTGAATTTTAAGGATAAACCAGAGTCATCACATTCCAATAGGTTAATGAATCAATGAGGAATATGACTACATCTCATAAACGAGAAGTTGAAGATATTCACAAATTAATTAAATTGCACATATCTCAATTGGGTATTTCCATTATCACAAAAAGATAAAACACGCTTCTCGAGGCTAATTATATATACATGAGTGGCATTGAATTAGGAATCATGCAGACAGAAAATTAGACGACGGCATAGTTGCAAATTAAGTTTTTCCACATTGACAATAACACATCTTTAGACACAACCACACCTGTCTTGATGACTTTAAGGAGATACTACTAAGTCACACATGATAGAAATTATTACTTTTTAGATGCTAGTTGTTCCTTTGAACATTAAGTCAAGGCAATTCTATTATACAATTCCATCAAAATTTACATATAACCCTTCTAATTGCAGTTTGATGAAGAGTATATTCAGGTTGTTCTTGAAACCATCAAGCAAATCAAGTAAAATCTATAGAATTAATTTGAATTTGAATACAACGGTTCACCACACTCAATTAAATCGTTATGTTTCTAAACTCCTCAATAACGACATTATTATTTAGAGTCTATGTCCTAGCAAAACTAATCCAACCCTTGTATTGTGTGGAAATCTCTTGAAATTAATAGATCTAAAAAGTAGGTTTACATCAAGGAGTTTGTTCTCTCTAAAATAGATTTAAGATTCTCATTTCATAAAAGATTCAGAACCAATATCCAATATGATGAGAATGTCTTTAATCTGTTTTCTACAGCCATTGGAGCAACAGTCTAAAATTTTAATGATGCTGAAATCATACTTGACTGTTTCAGATTAAGATCAGTCTATGATTCTAAGGAAATAGTACTCCAATCTATTTAAGATCATTATAAGAGTGAGATCATTAGAGCCATTCTAAAAATTATTGGCTCTATTGAAATCATAGGCAATCCAGTCAAATTCGTTCAATAAATCACTAATGGAATTGTTGATTTTGTTGAGATGCCAATTCAAGGCATAAGACATGGTCCACTTGAATTTGGAGTTGGATTATGCAAGGGTACGGGATCTCTCTTAAAAAACACAGTAGCTGGTGCTTTTTATTCAGTTAACAAAGTCACTGGATCTATTAGTGCAAGCGTTTCGCTATTATCGATGGATGACGATTACTTGGAAAAACGTCGAATATTTATGTTGAAAAGACCTGATCATGTTTTGGATGGACTGTCGTAAGCAGGACATTGTCTCTATGATGGTTTTTCGAATGGAATTACTGGAGTAGTCACATAACCATACTCAGAAACTCAATAGAACGGTTTTAAAGGATTTGTTAAGGGAACACTCAAAGGGTTATCTGGATTGATTGTTAAACCTATAGCTGGAGTTCTGGATGCAAGTGCTAAAGCAGCCGAGGGAGTGGTTTCAACTGCCACACATTTCGATGATAAACCAAACGATACAAGAATTAGGTATCCAAGAATTTTCTATGAGAAATCCAAATACTTTTAAAAGTATATTGCTTTAGACGCTCAAGTAGTTAATTTTCTAGTTGGATTTATGAATGGGAAATACAAAGACATTGAACTCATTACATGTTTTCATTTGAAGGAATCAGAAACATAACTTAACAATATGCAAAGACAAATATTATCGGCTACTAAATCGATTCATGAATGTTTTAAGAACACTTCGAAAATTCTAATATTATCATATTAATATATCTTAGTGCTTGAAAACATGACACTTGTCTAAGAAATCATTACAAAAGAAATTGCTGAAATATTAGAACCGATCAATGGATTTTTAAGAATCTTAACTGAATAGAAACAAAATATTGACATCAACATACTCTTAGACGAAATCGATTTCAAAAAGGCAGCTTCATTATTAGATTACTTACATTAATAGGTCAAAAGTTAATATGATTGAAATTCTTATCTTTATTTTTTATTACAATTTATTCTGAACACTTATAGTATATGCAATCTAAAATAATATAGAATATTCAGTCAATCTATATATAATAAATGAATTTCTATTTCCTGTTCTTTAGGATGTATATTTAAATAGCAAGTAAAATATAATTAAATTCATATTATTTAATTTATTATTTATTAATAATGAAAATGACATCATTATTAATTGTAGCTTTACAAATCTATTCTTCGTTGGCAGTTCTTGGATTTGATTTGAGTGCTAAACATGATGATTTCTAATGCTTCGTAAAGAATGGATATTAATTTGCTATTACAAGAGCATACAGAAGTTTTGGAGCAGTGGATCTAGATGGGTATTAAAATTTGGAAAAAGCAAAGGCAGCAGGACTATTAGGAGATGTCTATTTCTTCCCTTGCAAAGGAAGTATTAATATACATATAAACATTTAGAAAAAACTGCAAAGGCTTAGGTTTAAGAATTCGCTTAGGTTTTTGGCAATCAATAAAGTTAAGTCTACGGAACAGTTTGGGTTGATGTTGAGAGCAATCCAAGCACTGATTGTGGCTGGACCACCGATTATGCAAGCAATTGCAATTTTCTTTAGGAAATTGTAAATGAATTGAAAGGAAGCAGCAGATCTGTTGGAATATATGCTTCATAATATTAGTGGACATCGATTTTTGGAAGTGCATCAGCATGTTCTCACTTTGCTTCTCTTCCATTATGGTACCCTCATTATGATCAAACACCAACCTTTGACGATTTCCCTAAATACAAATTTGGTGGATGGACTACACCCAGCATCAAGTAATATTCAGGTTCATCTACAGTTTGCGGTGTGGGTGTTGATTTAAATTATTATAAGTGAATGAAATAATATATTTATGATTAAATTTTTATCGAATATTGCATGTTTTTAATAAAATACACTGAGACTTTAGATCATGATATTGATGATATTGATACGGTTATTAGTTTATACTAGACCCATGAGAGATTGATTACTGAAAATCTAATCAAAATTGTACTCCCTTCTTTTAAGAAAATCGACTTTTTTGAGAAACACAGGCCTTAGGAAATTTCACTCGAAGATTTCATCCGCAAAGCCATTCCCTACTTCAGATATGAGGAGTATTCCTTTGGAGAAATCCTATATAACATAGGAGAGGAAAAATAAAAATTGTTCATTGTGTTGGAAGGATCAGCTATGGAATTTGTTCCTATTAAAAAAGAACATCTTGTTGTTTAACAGTGTAGCACACCAGTCAACCAAAAAAGCAAAAGACCTGCCCGTTAGATCGAAATATGGGAACTTGTTATGCGCATGTAATATCATAATCCTCTTTATTGGAAAGGTGGATAAGTTTAGTTCCAACAAGTATTTCTATTAATCTTCATCCTAGAATGAAGTTTATAAAGTAGGCTAGCATTTTGGAGACCTATCAAATGACGAAAATGCTAAGGAGACTGTAATTGCCAGTAGCTAATTATTGTGCATTTCAATGAAAAAGTCAGACTATAAGTTATTATTTGGAAGAGAATTGGCTTAAACAAGAAAAAATTTAGATTTCTTTAAAAATTTATTTCATAATGTTAGTGAAAACAAATTGTTGTAATTTATTAATTTTACAAAATAAATTTCCTTTGAACCCAAATATCAATTATGGCAAAAAGGAGATGAACCAAAATTTATGATTTTTGTAATTGATGGTCTAGTTGAAACCTATCACTACGAAAACATCAACATAGGAAAATCCTTAACAAGAAGATCCAAAATCTCAATTAGAACATAATCAACTGGATGTTTGGTTGGAGCAGAGGAAATTATTTAAAAATCATAAACTCGTGAATATAGCTGCCAATGCATTAGTAAAACAGAGGCATTTCTTATTAGAAAGGAATAACTAGCACTTCTCACATAAAAGTTTTATGAAATCTTTCGCCAAATGAATTTAATATTATCCAAAAATATATAATTGACTACTGAAAGAAAGAGGGAAATCTATAAAAATACTCCCTTGAGAGATAGTAGAAGGTTATCTTTATAAAATACAAATTCTCAACCAAACACTGCTGAAAATAATTGCATAGAAAATTATTATTGTACTCCAAGAAAAATAACTAAAGATAAGATAAGATCCTCTATTAAAGGTGCTTTAAACTTAAAAGAAATTGTCAAAGAAAATTAATAGATGTCAAAATCATAATAAAATTTGGCTAATACTATTTATCCAATCGAAAATTCAGAACACTATGAAATTATGTTAAGGTTTTTATCCAATGGGTCATAGAATTAAAATGCTCAAATTAAAAATCCTTTATAATTTCAAAACTGTTTAGAAAAAATTAAAAAGAAAATTTACTCTAAAAAGTTCAATTCCCAAAAAAAGTTCCTTTTCTCACCTTAAATTTAGGTTTCTAAACTTAATTGTGAAGATCCAAACTCTCAACCAGTCTCTCCCATGCCATTAGACAATGCTACTCTAAGGAATAGACTTCAATCAAGATGTTTTGAAAATAATTCAAACAATAAATCAACAACCACTTAAATTTTTAGTGCAAGATAATCTTAAATCGACTTTGAACCTCATCAAAATGATGATACAAAAAGTTGTGCTTAATTTCGAAATTTCTTTTAAATAACTAAACCATTATTTTTTGTAAAATCAAAGGATGATCGATTATTATCCCAATAAACAGATAGGAAGTGAAGTATGAATTTAAAAATGACAGTATTTTTTCAGATTTTAATATTTATTAATTTTATTCGTTGATAATTTCATATTCAATTTAAAAAATTTTTATAATTATGAATTATTTGATCCTGAATTCAATACTTAATATAATCTTGAAATATCTATTCAATGTTGAAAGTACATAAAATTAAGAATATTAAATATTAACAAGAAATATGAAATTATGTCAAATGAACTTTTTTGATTTGAAGAAACTCTTCAATTTACGAGCTTAAACAAAATTTGTTAAAACCATCAATATCAAAGTGCCAACACTAAAAATTATTATTTTATATGAAATATTGCTAACATTAGAAAATCTTGTGGCTTGTCTTTCTTCAATCTCTTTTTATTCTTGCTAGAATTGATATCAATCATTTATTTACTTCAACTGAATTTATTAAACCATTCAATTTCTTCAGATGTATCTCTATTGGTTTTAAGTCTTCCTTCTAGGCTACTAATGAAAAATCTTAAGCATCCATTCCTGTGGCTAAATTAAAGCTAACATTAAGTCCAACATTTGCTAAGTTATGTATGCAAAATTAATAATTTTCTTAGGTGTTATTTGTAGTGAATGAAAACTTTTGCAATTCCAAACTATGAGCATACTGTAAAATACTATCAAACTATTTTTATGGCACCTTAGTGTTTAGGATTATTGGTCATACATGTATTTTCAATGAATATTCACTTGAATTAGCCTAAACAGAACCAACAACCAGACTATTTTATCCAATAATTTCCCCAAAGCATTTCAACTCCTTTGATTTTAATGGGAATGTAAATTGTATGCCTAATGCTCCATAAAAAAGAATTGCAAATAAAGGTAACATTACGTGTAATAATATAATAAATAATCAAATTAGTTATATAAGTTATCTTGCTATTAGTTCATCCTTTTCAGCTTCATTGATAACGAAAGGCTTTCCATTATCATCAAGGAGTTGCAATCCCATCTCAGCATCACATAATTGCTCTCCAGAATATGTGCAAAGAAGAGTCTTCTATTGTTTTCCCAAGTAAAGTAATCCTATGGTTTGATACAATATTATTACTTCGTTTAATCGCTTAATGTAAAGGAGGTAAGTTTTCTTATTATTTCTTTATTGTACTTTCAATTTGAAGAACTTTTGAATTGTTCTCTTTAAAAAATCTATTGATATTCATCGATTAGGAGGATTTAAAAGGATCTTTAGGAGATTGAATGCTGCTTGATTTTGCATCTCGAGCGAGAAACTCAATGCTGTCATTAGAATCTAAAATTGAATTTTCATTAAAATTAGCGAAATCATCAATACTAATTTCAAAAAGATTTGGATTTGGTTATTTTTTTTGTTTTTTGGAAACACTCTAGGGTCTATTTTTGGTAAAATTTAATCCAGCACTTGTTGAATTAGTGTAAAAACTATTTGATTTCGCATTTTTAGGAGACTATATTTATTGCACATGAGGAGATTTTAAACTTTTATTGTTTGAGGATATTTTATACAACTCCTATTATTATTTTTAGATAATTAATTATGACTCTGAAATCTCCTTTTTAAGTTCTCCATTATGTTTTTAGAGTTACTTTATTTTTTCATCCTTCTCTTAAACCTTTAAAGTGAATTACTCCTGAATTTATGAAAATTTAGAAAACAGAGAGTGATATTATTGTTAGAGTTGTTAGGAGATCTCTTTGCCAGATTACTAACTTTGAGAATGTTCTTTTACCATTTCTAACATTGCTTAGATCGAATTTTATGCCTATTGATTTACCTAAAGTAATGTATTATTAATAGTTGTTTTTATTTTATTGATTTCATCGCTTTTATCTGAATTAATTTTTGCAATTAGCTAGTGAGCTTACGATAATTAAGTTTGGTATTATTGTTACAAGATGGCAACCGATTAAGCAACAATTTATTCAGCTCTATTCCTGTCAACTTTTTGGTCTAGTTTATCTTACAAAAACTAAAGTTCTTATTGAAAATGTTATTCATCCTAATGTAATCTAATTGTAGTATTAGATAGTAGATTTTTTGATAAGCGTTCATTTTATTATAATTTATTTTCCATATCTGTTTTCATTTCATCAATTTAAGAATTGATATTACTTTATAAATTGAGTACCTTCCTATCAATTTCTTGCATAAAATATGTAGTGTAGTCATTGAGTTAAATATTCAAATCTATTCCTTTTAGTTGAAGTGAAATTTCCTCTTGAAACTTTTTGAATTCCACATCAAATTTTTCCTTTAACACATCATAATCGTGAACTTTTTCAGATAACTTATTTTATAAATCAGATATCTATTCTTACTAATCAATAATGGCTTATTTTTTTTAATTAATTTCTTCGATATATTTCTAATGCTACTCCTATGGTAAAGGATTATATTCAATGCTTGTTGCTTTTTTGTGCTGGATGAGATCACCATCAGCAGGTAAATTTTGAAATTGATTCACAAAAATATGTTCTAGATTAGGGATTCTCTTGATTGCAGTTGGACTTGAGGCTCTAAGGTAATAATATAAAATGCCTTGGTTGAGTGGAAATGTATGTATAGGTTGGTGGGTGAGTCTCATGATTGGATGATAGACATCTAATAACTTATCGTGGATCTGTTGCATTCTTTGTAGAGTTTGGTCTTGGTAATCTTTGATCATAGACGATAATTTAGTTTGGGATTGTACAAATAGGCGGCCTTGAGGGTTTCATTATTAACGAATTAAACAAAAATATAAAAAATAGTACGAAAAAATCAGAAATTATCAGTGCCTATTGTGTTGTTCATTAAAGAATTATTATAGTGGAATAAAATTAATATATATAATTTAATAATGAGAAAGGGATAAGGTAAAAAAAACATTCAAGTGGAGGAGAACGGAATCCGCTCGATTGTGAATTCTAATAGATAACACATCTAAGATGAAATATACTAGAAGTTGACTTTATGCATCAACCAAGGCTAAGATATTAGTCCAAATCAATTTGCAAGAAAATGGTTAAATCATAATTCAACAACTCGTACAAATAATATTTTGGCTGGACTCACTGATTTCGATTAGAATCATGGAGTGGATATGTCAAAATCAAATCCCAACTATCATATAGCCAATGCTAAATTATTTACTTAGAATAAATGGAATTATAAGATCATGAGTAATAATATAGAATAAATCATTAGCCAAATTCTCAGCAAACGCCTTGTCGAAGGATGGAGATACAATCCATTTGTTGGCTTATATGTTGACAATATTGCAGGGTTATTTCTCTTAAGCAGATTCAAGCATGATTACAAAAGTCATACATTTAGAACATCTTGGACCTCTTTAAGCATTTTTCTATACAAAAACTGATAGAAACATAACATTGTTCTGGGAAGTCGGAATCGATAAAATTCCAAAGATAAGTCGTTTTTCTAAGAGTGTTTAATCGGAATTGTAAGGTTATGATTACATACATACCATCACATTCATCGATTGTAGATACGATGTCAATATAGATAATAATGCAGGAAAAATAATAACTCCTTATTATTAGGATTAATAGCACGCCATCCATAGATAAGATTACTAATCTGTAATCACATCTACTAACCATTATCAATTAAAGAAAGGCCAGCATTCAGATCTTTTATTCGTAATTGAAGCAAATGACTTAGGAAGTATGCATGGGGAATTGTAATATAGAAACAGATAAAGTGAAATTGTTAAATGGTTACCTCATACATTTCCTACAGTCTATTTAACTAAATAAGAATAAAAGTCCTTTGTTTATGATGATTCGCTTTAAAGATGGGTTAGCAAGGATTACGAAGCAATTCAATAGGCTAGGCAAATGAGAGAATATTAAGCTAAGATTAATAAAGATTTGTTGAGAAGATATGCTGACTTTTCATCAGCTGCAAGGCTTGTTGATTTGTTGTAAAGAGTCCCGAATTTTAAAATAAAGTTAACAGAGGAGGAATAAAAGGTGGTGGGATCTGATGGAAATGTAATGGTTATTGGTAGAAGCGGTACAGGAAAGACAACATGTTCAATTTTGAGATTATTTGCAATGGAGACCTTATTTAAATTAAGATTAGAATTATATAAATAGAAGCATGAGAATGTTCTTTAGAATTATAAATACGATGACTAGGAAGTCAACAATAATGTAGGATTGCATTGTGTATTTGCAACTGCTAGTCCTGTTTTGACAACAGAAGTGAAGAGATATTATGGGAAATTGACAGCTTAGATCAAGGCTGAATTAGAAAAGAAGAAATAGAAGGACAGATTAAAACGCTAACAAGAAGAATAAGAGGCTTAGAAGCAATAAATTGACAATTAATTCAATTAAAGTACTGTTTAATTTGTGGATGCTAAATAAGTTGAAGAAAATTATTTTGAATAACAAATTGGAGGGATCCAATTATAAAAAGAGTAGGGAGCATTTTAGGAAGACTTAAATGAAGAGGATTGGGATTAGGAAGAGGAGAAATTAAAATAAGAATTAAATGCGTTTCATTCATTTGCTGATATGAAAGATTCTGATTTTCCAGCTTTCTTAACAATCAAAAAGTTAGTCTTATTAATTGATGGGTCAATAGCTAAACCCTTCTTCTCTCGTACCTAAGATAATAAAGTTGTTAGTTCTGACACTCATGCTTAATGGAGCACTGAAAAAACAGGAGTCATATTTATAAACACTTACAAATAAGATTAGGATTAGGAAGTTGAATATGATGAGGAAGATTATGAGGCTTTATTTGAAGATGATGAACTCAATGTTGATAATATGGATGAACAATAACTTGAAGAAGAATATTAGAGACAACTCTATTTGATGAACAAACCTTAATTGTAAGCGAATGTCGAAAGCAGTAAGTCCAAACTCTCTTAAGAAGTGGATTTCGACTTCTTCATTGATAAATTCTGGTATAGCAAATACAACAAATACTAAAACGGTAATTTAAACCCATCGTTTGTCTGGACTCAAATTTACTCTCATATCAAAGGGGCTGCTGCTTGTCATACCTATCCTGGACATTATATGCCCAAGAGAGTATATTTGAGATTAAATAAAAACGATGAACTTTTCGAAGACATCTTTGAATGTTACATTCTTTATGAGAGATGGAAGATTCAACAAGGCTATTATGATTTTATGGATGTTGTTAATCATATTCTTGTTTAATTGGTCTACGGAAGGTGTAATCTTATACCCATTCATTATCTGATGATTGATGAATGCTAAGATCTACCCCATGCAGTCTTGCTCTTGTTGTGTAAAATAACTGAATAAGGTTTGTTCTTTAGTGGAGATACAGCTTAAAACATTGCAAAGGGAGTTGGATTCAGATTCTAAGATCTCAAATCCCTTTTTAAAAAACCTGAAATCTCATACAATGCTAAATAAAATGATTTGACAATTCATTAACTCACCATCAATTTTAGATCCCACAACAATATCCTATAATTAGCCAACTGTCTAGTTTCCTTATTGGAGATCTTCTTCCCAAATACAATTGATAAATTGAAGAAGGAGAGATCAAACATATCAGGGCCAAAGCCAATCATAGTTAATGGAGACAAAGAGGAATTGTTCTACTTACTATCAGGAGAAACTGCAGATCAAAAGCAACAAGTGGGAGAGAGATTGCCTATTGAATTCGGTTGCAATTAGGTGGTTTTAGTAAAGGATCAAGAATCAAAGAAGAATATCCCAACCATCTTGTAGCACGCCTTGGTACTCACCATTTACGAGGCGAAAGGTTTAGAATTCGATGACGTCATCCTATATAATTTCTTCTAAGATCATTTCATTGGAGATTCTCAATGGAAATTACTATAGACTTGCGAGATTATCGATGAGGAAATGTCTAAAGAGAAATTCAAGGATGGTTGCACCTAACATAAGACTTTGGATGATGAAGCTACCATTTTCACAGGATTCGAGTAAAAGAATGGAAATGTCGTAGTGAAAAGAATCGTAACTTAACAAAAATTTTATGATGAATTAACTTACAATTACAGTGCTTTGTGTAATGAGATTAAATAGTTATATGTCGCTGTCACAAGGCCTAGACAAAGATTAATCATCTATGATGAAAATTAATAGGCTAGATAACAGATCTAAAACATATGGTAGAAACTCAATTTGGTTGATCACTTTGTTGGAACAAATTTGGAGGATAGAAATGTTGAAAGATTTGCAAAATAAACCTCAAAGGAGGAATGGAAAAAGTAAGGTTTGAAGATGTTTAGGAATAAGTATTATGAATAGGCTGAAAAATGTTTTGAATAATCGTAGGACGAATAATTGCAAACCAAAGCCAGAGCATTCAAAATTGCAACTGAGGGTAATGCACTTACATAAAAATATTCCCAATATTCATCAAGCACAATGAAGAAGAAAGATAGAAAATAAATCTTGTCATAAATAAAAATAGAATAGAAAGAAAAGTTTACTGAGTCAGCTCAATTATTCTTAAAGCTACAGAATTATAAGCAAGCTGCTTAATGCTACTATTCAGGTGAAATGTATGAGGAAGCTTTGGCCATCTATGTTGAATAGTCAATGTTTAATGAGGCTGGAGAAGCTGCTTATAAATGCGAAAAGTATGCTGAATCAGCTGAGTATTTCTTGAAATCCTTAGATTTTATTAGAGCAGTAGATGCTTTCGAAAAAGCTGAATCATATGATGACATATTTAGAGTACTTCATTAATTGAGAGATCATATCCCAGTTGAAACTAGGTCAGCCTTCCTTAAGAAATATCTTCCTATTGTTTTAAACAAGATGACAAGTTAGATTGGGTAACTTGAATAAGTCTAGGAAGCAAAGACTAAAGAAAAAAAACCACTCGTTATAGAGGAAAGTTCCGATGAGGAGGAGGATGATGAAGAAGAGGAAGTAGTCAAACCTAAATAAGAATAGATTTAGAATGAAGTAGGAAAAGAATAAAAGTAGGAAGATGAGTAGGTATAAACACTTGAAGAACAATCATAAATACTTTAATAGAGTGAAGAATAATAATAAGAGAAAATTATTGAGTTAAGTAGTTAATTGATTAAATCACTTCCAGATCAATCATAACCATCAATTTTAGTCAAGTAGGAAAGTATGAATAATAATTCTGAAGACTCTTAGTCATTTTCAGTATAGAATACAGAAAGCTTTTAAGTTGAATAAAGTAGAGCTTAGGATAGTAAAATAATAAGTGTTGCAGGATCAGAATCATTTTAAGTCGAAAATACAGTTAATGAGGAAGAGGAACAAAATTTTGAACATTTATCACACTTTGATCCAGAAGATCAATGGTTGAAAAATGACAACAAATCTATTATTGAATCTATTGCATCCAAGAAAAGTGAACAATCAGATTTCTCTGCTTTTTCTTATGCTTAAATTTATAGTAATCCTAACGTTTAATTCGTAAAAACCAAAACTGATATCTTTATCCAGGATAAAATAATGTAGCAAATTATTAAGTACATCTCCATGTTTTCAGATGAATTCAAATATCAATTATATAATTAAAGAAGCAAGTCTGCTTAACTAAGTAATAAATAGATAGATTAACATGAATTTGATTACATGGTTGATTTCATCTTGGATTTAGATTTGGTTGACATCTCATTCATATATTTGGTTTTAGATATTTTAGAACAATTCTAAAATTACAAATTATGCATTTTTGTATGCAATAGATACAAATTAGCTGATCAATTGGGAAGATATTTAGTTTCAATTGCAGCTACTTACTCTCCTATTGCATCTCATTCAGCTAGTTTGAATGTTTAATACTTAATTAATGGAAAGTAGAGGTAAGCCCAAATTGATAAGGGGTTAGTGGCAGCTTTTGCAGTTCACAATGTATTTGAAAACATCAATCCTGAATTTATTACTTTGAAATTCGGTGATACAAAGTTGACATCTTAAAATTCATTGGGTTTAGAGTGCTATTCTTAAATGCTTTTATTAGGATTTTGGAAGAAAACAGCTTACTAAATGGATGTCTCAAATTCCTTATTGGTTTGTAAATTGTTTATGGATTTCAAAAATTGGAGATTTATCTACTATAGCAACTTATGTCATTAGGTCACTAATAAGTATATAGAAAACGAACAAAAGGATAGAGATCTAGCATAAGTATAACAAACAACACTTTTGTTGATATAAAAGAAACTTGATATTTGTTTCTCAACTATGGTTAGAGGAGTTGATATGTTAATATTTTCTTATCCAAGAGACTAGTAAGAGATGGAGTTTGCCATTATTACATTGGAGTAATATTATAGTGAAATAATTACACAACTTGTTCTAAATAAAAAAGCTCCATTAACTTTATTCTATAGAGCCAATACTTTAGACACTCAAAAAACAATTAAGGTTGAATTGAATCCAAAGTAAAATCTACCCAAATTGTATTCATTGAGTGAAGAAGTGCTCAATTGTTTTATAACTAAAACAGAAGTACCTGAAGATGTTTTGAATAAATTGTGTGATGTTGTACTTGATTACAAGAATCCCCATGATGATTTGGAGATTTATCAATCAGTTTTTCTACTAATATTTTATATCTAATATGTTGTACATAATTCAGGATTAGTTAAGACTCAATCTTGGATAACATTATTGGATGTGAAGACATATGCTAAACTAGTAAGATGTGTTAGATTTATCAATAAAGTGTTGAATACCAATGAGGACTGCCTATAAAAGTTATAAAAGATTGTTAGTAGAAGTGTATTATTTTACTTCAAAATCAGATAACCAGACAACGTTGCTTTACTTAAACCATACCTTAATTCATTAATAATTCATAGATCATCTGTAATCATATAGAGTTTAATTGAAAATAGACATAATTTGCAATTGAGGGGAAATAAGATTGTGTTAGACGATTACTACTTTGTAGATATTGATTTTGAATTCATTAGTGCTCCAAGAGCCTCTATAATGTTTTTGATTACTAAAAAATTAAGCAATGAATTGAATTCAGTAGGTAATTTAAGGAGAGCTACATTTGATGAATATCATTTTGATCAATTGTATCCACACGAATATGAAGATCATTTTGAAAACTTGAGTGTCTACCTTTATAGCAAATAAAAGCATACTTATTAACTCACTCAAAACTAATAAGTAAGGGAGACCACTAATTTATCAACTGTGGATGATTGGATTAAGAAGGAATAACACGAAGTTCATTAAAAAATCTCAGAAAACTTTAAAATGAAACATGGATTCAAAGTTGAATAAATGGATGATCAAGTTGATGTTAAGTTCTTGTTTGAAAACAACAAAGGTGCATTAACTCAACAAATTTACTTTTTGAAGAATCCTTATCTGAAGTGTTTATCATTCGAATCAAGGCAATATATCACTAGATGTGCTTTGAAAAAGATTAATAAATAAACCACAGATTCATAGAAATTCCATTGTTAAATGGTTAAATTCATTCATTTGATGAATTATGCTGACAATAATCACATCACCTATCAATACATCAACAATAAAATTGAATAAGGATAATGCAACAAATATGAGCCTTATCTACAATATTTAGAATGCTTAATATGTAAAAAGTTTAATGTGATATCCGATGCCACAGATATTTACTTTTCTTATCAAGAAACAAGATAGGATTTAATTACTCCAGACGAATAATATTGCCAATTAACTTATTTATTACTAAACAATATGGTTGGGTATTTACTAAGTCTCAAGAAGGACTGTTAAATTAAGATTCCAAATAGATACTTTATTTACTTCGACAAGATTACTTAACCTAATGAATAATAATACTTATATGAAACAAACTTCCACCCTGTATCAAATTAGGATGCCATTGCTCGAATAATTGAATAATTGGCAGAATTATAAAAAAATATACCTTAAATATACTCTTTCAAGGTAATGTTACTAATCTACACATTAGTACTTAACTTGAATGATGTGAAGATAGCTGTATTGAATTAGATCAATTACATCATCAATGATCTTGCTGCTTAAGATGAAGTGGATTAATACACCTAAATTATGAAAGTAGTCAATCTACCTCAAAAATAAAGATTTGATGCTCTCACCAATAGTTCTAATGCTATCAAATTATTCTTTGCATAAGATGTTAGATTGTACTCCTTAAATGTTGTCAATAAATTAACAGATTAAACTATTGAAGCAGCATATTAAGGATGTTTAGATGAATGGACTAATTTACAATAGAGAAGTGAGAAATTAGAGAAGAATACAAGGAGAATCATTGCTGCATTCAAGCAACAGAGAAAAGGAGAAAGATTCTTTAAGCCTTATCAATTTGGATTTGGTGAATATCAATTGCCAAGGAAACTTAAGACATCCAAATATGTTGATATCATTAACGAATTTGTTAGGGTCAGGAAGATCTTATTGTCTACATTCTACTCTATGTTGTTGACTAATTCAATTGATTTCCACTTTATTTCTTAAAAACTGAAACATCTTGAGTAAAAGGAGGATTAATTCAATTGCTTGTGGACCAAATACCATAAAAAATAGATGATTAAGTCAGATTTCATTAAAAATTATGATGAATAGTATCACAATGTTACAGTTATTATTGACACCTTGTTGGAATGGCAGAGAAGTAATGTGACATTTGAACAAAATGCAAATAAATTGCTTGAAAGAAATAGAAAATTGCTAGCCTTGAAATGGATGAATAATAAAGCAGGTTTAACACTTCAAAAGATTCAAAAGAGGAAGAAGGGTTTGAAGAGATAGAAATTATAAGAATAGAAGAAATTATTAATGAAATTATTCTGATTAATAATAATTTATATACCATAATTACATAGAAATAACAAACATATGATAATTAAATTATTTCATTGTCTTCTAGATTGGTCAAATTGAGGATTCTTTCTTTAATTCATTATACTAAAGAACCCTTTGTTCATAGTTTATTTGATATTAATTTCCCTGGCTTTCACTTCATCTAAATATTTGATTTGAGGATCGAAATTGCCAAACTTCCTCAGTTCTGCTCTAACATCCTTTATTTGAGGTTTGGAGAGGTCTGTTGTTAATAAAATATCTGTTACGTTCCAAGAGTAAAAGAACATCCTTTAAGACTTCATCATTTTGTTTCCCATCAAATGGCTTGATGAAAATACCATTGTCTTGGTATTAATACATCCTCTCTGGATCAGAATCAAGTACTATAACTCTGTTCAGAGGACGATTGATGTACTTCAAATCTCTTATATATCTTCCTTTCTCAAACACCATTGATTCTCTACCAAAGGCACCTGCAAATATCTATCTTGTGGGATCCAATTTTTGAGTAATTTGTTATGTAAACTGCATATTAATAATACCATTACCATGGTTTCATCATCACTCAAAATTACAACCTCGTACATTTTAGGCAATTTTTCAAGAAACCTCTACAAACCATTTCTTCTTTTGATTTCTCCTCTAATTGCTCAATTTCAATAAATACCCAACACCAAACACATAGTCCATATGCAATAAAGTACCTGAGATATTAAGTACCAAGGTCTTTGGTATTTCGTATCCAAATGGCAATTCAGGGATGTCAGGCAATAATTTATCAATTGCTGGCTTAGTCATAAACTAATGATATACTCAACTATTACATCATAAAATGCTTAATATTGATCTTAGCAATATTTGGCAGCGTCATTTATCTACTTTTAATAGCCTACTCATAAATCGGTACTTTACCCAATTCTTATGTTGGATCGGTTTTATAATTATTTAGATACAAATTATAGCCAAACAAAGCGGATGTTGTCCACCAAAATATCCTTGAAAACAATCTGAAGTATGAAAATGCTTTCTCTTTATTCTCCAATGTTGGATTAGCCTCTTCTGCTTCGATAGTTCTCTCATCCCAATCGTCCTACTACTCTCTTTGTTTTTGTTGTTATTAACTAAACTCATATCTGGGAAAACGTAATAGAGTTAATGCTCTAATTGAATATTTGCTTAGCATCCGTAAATAAAATATAAATTTTCAAATAAATATATGTTCAATTTTATCCACTTATTTGATACCCTCATAATGTTTTAGTTACTATAATGTAAACAATCAACATTAAAATCAAATGTTAATTTAATAATTGCCATATCACTCCATTTTTGGGTGACCATTTATATTAACTATAATCTTCGACTTCTCCTTGACGAAACTCTATTAAGAATCGCTCTCAAATTCAAGTACATTTACCCACTCGTTTCATTACTGATTTATAGTATACTTAACAAAGAACGAATGGAAGTCATTTTTATTATCCTACCCTTCTTGAATCTATTAATTTTTCAAGATACAACTCATCGCAATTGATGGAATAACCTTATTAAACTAATAATTTCTTATTGTATTTTTGGGATAAACCAGTTTATTACTGGAAGACTTTCACCAAAATTAATTCATTAAACATCTTGATTTTAGTAAGTGCTTATATCCTTTATAAATCCTTCCTCTATTAAAAAAATCCAATAAATTCTTAAATTATGTTAATCTTAAACTCTGCCTCCCCATAGTAATACAAAAATCTTTGAATAGAATGTTTACTCCTTCTACTATCAAGTAATACCAGTGAAGATCGGGAAGCATACAAAATTACCTTAATTAATTTATTCGAATTTAAAAAACAAAATAAATAGAATAGTAATATATAGTAGAATAAGTGTGTAAAATAACAATTAAATATTACTAAATTTAAATTCTCATTTTTTGATTGGTTTTTTCCCTTGCTTTTTAAGTTCGGCCAATTTTTCTGCCTAAAAATTTGGGTTGCCTGATGCTTCATCTAACATATCTTCTGCTGCACTTGTGTCTAAACCTTCAATATTTAATTATTAAATCTAATCAACACACTTCTGCAATGTATCAACATCAAAGTTTTACAGAGCAGTGTTTATTTTTTCTTGAATTATTGCTATCTTCCAATTATTTATAACCTATCTGGCAGCACTTACCAAAACAGGATCTAATTAAGAAGGATCAGCTATTAATTTCTCTACATCCTCTGGATTTCCTATTTTTTCTTATTTGCATAACTATTGTTATTAATGCACATCTTACATCGAACAATTATTACTCTTTCTTCATTAATTAAGTCAAATCCTATTTGATAGAATCTCGTTATTGATATATCTCTGTAAGTTCTTATTTGTATGATGACCTGTAAGATTAGAATTCATTAATTAAGATTTCTTTATTATCCCTATAATTGCTATATTTAAATAATACTTTTAAAGAAGTTTAATTTCTTCTCTCATTTTAAGATTTCTTTGGATAATTCCCGCAATCTCTTCCTTTCCCATCAAAATTCCTTCCACTATTTCTCTTTTCTACACATCGCTTCTTACATTAATCAATCCAGCATGTCTAGCATAGTGATCCATAATTCTATCTTATTCTAAATGCTATAAGAATTATGTAATGGCTTCATTAACATGATTTTCAGATTTTGGTATTTATCTTTATTAAGGAGCAGTTTCAACTGGTGCCTCCACTTTTGATTATTTACCCACTTTTTTATCATCCTTTTTTGGTCCCTTTTTTTGGGCTGCTTACTTGGCCTCCTCTTCCCTTTACTTTTTTGTCATCCTGGGTGCATTTATAATAGCCTATTCCTCAGGAGTTAGTTCTTCCTTTAATGTTATTAAATATTTTGTTCTTGATTTCTTAGCATTTACAGCTCTTCCTGGCTCTTTATCCTCCCAAGACTTTTTAATTGCTTTTTCTTTGTCTTCCTTTGTTGTATCTCTTACAAGCGCAACAGTGTCTGATGCAAATATTGTTGTGAACCAATACAAATTATCAGTTTCTTCAGATTTAAATTTAGCCTCTGGCCATTCTCGGAGATCAAAAGATGCTTAGATTACATAATTTTCATCTTTAGGCAAAGTAATATTTGAAAGAGTGACCGAATTGATTCCATAGTTATACACAATCAAATCATCCCCGTGATACAATTCCAAACGAATGAGTCTTTCTCCTCTCATTTCAGACTCAACTATTTCTAATTCCTAAGCTCCTCCTTTTGTTTATTTACCTTTAGCCACTTACTATTACTATTAAGCTTATTGTCCTTCTGTTAATCTAACATAGATGCTAACTTAGGCCTCATTTGCAAAGATCCTCTCCCTAAAAATAGTACCGTATTTGGTTGGAACATATTTGTCATAATAACGAGTAGGTTCTACATTTTCTAGTTATGTGAAGGTGAATTCTTGATTGACTAAGAAATCTAATTCGAAGGTGCCTTCTTAAGTGTTGTATTAAGGAGTCCCTTCTAGTATAAAGTAGTATGTAGTTTAACTTCGAAGCATCATTCTTTAAGTACCATTAATGATAGATTCACTTTCAAATAAATTCTTATGAACTCCTTCTATCGTAGTAAGCATGAGATTACTATCAGGTGGTGGAATTTCGCATAATTTAATTTTGAGAAATTTCAATAATTGATTATCTGTTGTGCTCTTCAATCGATAAACAAATGATCCATTTTCCTTGTTAGAATTCAAAAACACTTTGAATCTGAAGTACACATAGTATCTATTGGCTTCACATGCTGGATAGTCAATTTGAAAAGGATTATTTTTGATAATTTTCATAGTCAATCAAATAATCAAACACACTTTAAGTGCTGATTTTATTATTAGATGTCAACCACATAGTGAAATTGAGTGGTGAGTATATATTCATTTTGAATATGTGATTTTTATTATCTAATAATAGCATCTATGAGCTAACACATTAATTCAACAATTTGTAATCCAATATCGACTCGTATGTCTCCAAATCAAATCTTTATAACATCGAATAAGGCCTAATTTATTCATTAAAATCTTTATTCTGAGAATATTTGGGTTGAAATCCAACAAGAAACGCAACCTATGCATTATCATCAGAATCAGGATCTCTTTGAACAATTACCATTTCTATATTGTCATAACCAGCAATATCATTGTCTGGATTGCTTTGAATTTGCAAAACTTACATGTTATATCTCTTTGGATCATATGCTATTTGAATGTAATCAAAAAGACTTAGGAATTCTTTTTCATGCACCCAGAATCCACCTTCTCCTCTGTTAAATGGTTCTTGAGCATTAGAAACTGAAGAGAAATCCTCTAATGGTTTTACAGAGAAGCTATCATCAGTGTTCTTCATATTGGCTGAAACCACGGATTTATCATCTCCTTTGATTTCAGGAATATCATAATTAGGAGGTTTGTTCAGCTTATTAGCAATGCATTTTTTAGCAATATATATTTCATCAGCAGCAAGAGGACTGAAAACAATCACTGGATCTTTACCTGAGACATCACTCTTTAATCTTAAGTATCTATGTTTAACAGGTTATTGACTAATTAATGAGATCCTTTTTTTATCATCATCTTGCAATTTTTCTTTAATTTCTTTCTTTCTTCTTCTCAAGTCCAGTTTCTCTTCCTTCGTCATCTTATTCATAGGAGTTTTGCAGAGATCAAAATATTCTTATCTCAATCTCAATTCTCTATCACTCCTCTTTTATGCATAAACCATATTAAATCCATTCTCATTCTAAAATTACTCTACAATTGAATATGAAAAACATGTATTAATATTTGTATCTCCTGGTACTTTAGGAGGTTTAGGTATGGAATATGATCGACTTAAACTTTCGAAAGAGAATCCCCTTTGAGTTTTTCTGAACCTTTGAACCTTTTGCTCATTTTCCTCTTACTACATTTCTTCCTATTGTTCATCCTATTCTTCTTATTGCATTTGTTGATGTTAAGAAGGAGAGCCATTTTTATTTCTGGCTATTTCATAATTATCAAATTCCTTTTTGGGATTCCTCAATAACTCCAATTAATATTCTTTCTTAGATCTATTATTCGTATTTTAATTTGATTGGTTTTTATAACTATAAGTTGATACAAACACATCCTTCTAGACATAATGATTATTATTCATCATATTGTCTATGATACCCCAACTGTTTATAGTCTTCAAATCAATAGTTTCAGTCAATAAACCCATCAAAGAGTACATAACAAATCCATCTCCAACCAAACTGCCCTTGCTTTGATAATCCCATAATTGTAACACTGCTTTACTGATAATCATCGGCCATAATTAATTCTTATCAACACTTTAGGGTAATAATGCTTTGCCATCAAATGATGTGGGCATGTGATCAGAAACCTATATTTTTCTCTCTTTTCCCATGAAATACAATTTGACTATATATTTGCCATTTGGATTATAAATTGGTGCTCCATCCTTTTATGGATAGATCTTGCTGGAGAGTGACTTTTGAGTAAAACAATCCTTAATATCTCTGTCCTTAATCTGCTATAATTATGAAGCAATCCAACGAGAATTGGGAGGTAATGCATCACTGCAAAGTAGATCACTTAATCTGACATCAGATGTCAGCTTAGGATTTTCATCAAACACTTCCTCTGCTTGTTTTTTCGTACCCTTTTTATTTTTTTATTAAGCTGCCTGTTTTTCTAAGAACTCCTTTCTTCTCATCTCCACTTCTTCAGGTGTCTCCATTCTCTCGTAACTCTCACAAATAGTCAAATGATGCTCAGCTTCCTTCTCCATGTAATGTATTTTTTCAACTGTTTCAAGTCTAGTCGAGTAATAATCATCATTCATATTATATCGATTTTCTCTCATGTCCATGTAAGGTGGTTCATGTTCAGATTCTCTAACAATAATTATATATTTGTTACTATTGCCATCTTTATCTTAAAAAATTCTTTGGTCTCCTCCAAAATGGAACATATCTGTCAGTTTCAAAATTGCACTTAGTAAGTTAAGCTTCTCCCTATAAAAGATTTATAGCTTAAACGGCTTCATCGCCTGGCCATTCCTCAGGGTCAGGAAATGGTTGATACTCTTTTACATTTATCAATTTGTTTTACCCTGCATACTTTATTTGTTAATTTGTTCTGGTGCTTTAAGAGTTTTTGGATCTCTTGGCGGATTCTTGACACTCTATGGTATCACATCCTTTAATGGTGTGCCTACTCTAAATAGTTATCGGCCTTTTTGATCCTTAGTTGTTTTAGGAGGCATATAAAATAATTAAATTAATAATAATATTAAGTTTCAATACATATTAGCTAATTGTCAATATCTCATTGTTTAATAGACTGGTATTCCCTGATTAAGTGAGTTTGTAGTTAATTTTTTGAAATTGAATCATTTAAAATGTTACTTTTATAGCTTTATTTGATAATGATTATGGCTCACATATTGAAATGATGTAATTTGCTTTGATTGCACTCATCATATTAAGGAAATTAAATCAAGGATCTAATTCTAAATCCACTATTGTATTACATATCTTCTAAAATTTTCAAACTCTAAACTCTCTTAATTTTCTCGAAGTAATTCAAAGTGAGCTTCAATCTACAATTCCTCCGAATGGAATTCTTACTTTGAATTTAAATTCCTCCTTTCTTGCTTTCCACAATGGTAAAAGGGGTCTCTTTAATATAAATTGTGATTAAAAGCAATCAAAATATTAAAAACAACCCCGAAAAAAAGAAGTGTATTGTAATTAGATATTTTAATATTTAAATCTTTGAAATGAATAAAAAGAATACTAAGCGTAAATAACACAACAAAATAGAGAAGGATGATGATTATAGTGGCATCTTTGAAGAAATCTAAACCGATTTGCCGATTATTAAAAAAAAGTCAAAAGAACAACAACAAACAAATCAAATTCACTTTGAGTCCATTCGCAACCAAGAATAGGCTAATCTCATTCGATGCCCAATAGAATCCATCAATATTGAATAGGTTGATTTTTCCCACTAATAATTTAGATTCTATAGGACATTTTGTATGAGTCTTCCAAAGAATCCCAATACTCTAAAACTCTTAAGCAGATCCTTCTTTTGGGGCAGCGAGAATTGAAAGACAAACAAAAATATTACTAATTTAAATGGCAATCATTAGGACACTCAAACATTAGTCGTTAGGAGTATCAAAGATAAGAGTAAATGCTAAAAGAACAACAATCTAAGGACATTGCTGAAATTCAAAATAATGTTATTGCTGAATTAGGAAGAAAGCGGGTGAAAGGATTTTAGTAAAGGGAAGATATCTTGGATGAATTTCGAATCAATTTTATGAAGAAAAGACATCTCACACCCGATGGACCTGTGATGGAAGAGTTCCAATTTTATGTTGATCCCGAAGAGGCTAATCGATTGAAGAAAGATCAAATATAATTGTTGGAAAAATTGATGGAAGAGTCTCATCTAATTCCTGAAAATCACCCTCTTGAATTGAAGAGATACTTTAGTTAGCCAGAAAATATTGGACATCAACAAAGATATCTACAAAGGACTTAAAGCAGTTATATATAAAAGTATTACCTTATTAATTATTGTAGTACTAATGAATAACATTAGAATGATGTTTAAAAGATTACAAATATTTCCAAAATTGCAGATTGACAAAATCATTAAGGATAAAATGGAGAATATGACACCCAAGAAAATTGAAGTAAATGTTTCTTAAATAACCCAAGCTTGAAGGAACTGCTCAAACTTGATGAGTAAGATATTCAAGTCATTCCCAGAAATGTTAGAGTTATGCTTTTGGATTCCAAATCTGATGAGTTATACACTGACAAGGATTTCTAATTAGACTAAGCTGAAAGATACATAGAAGTGTTCAACCAATTGAAGGTATTATTAAGTTGTGTTACATTTATAGAACCAAAATTTTTATGAATTGGATTTAGAAAAGATGTTGGAACTTACAATTTATATTGTGAATAATACTCATTATCAATAAAAGTTTAAGTTATCTGAAGATAGAAAATAAGTCACGCCCAGAGAATTGCTGAATTATATTGAAAAATTATATAGATAATGAAAATGAATTATTTATTTTTACCAAATATAACTCAAATTCGCATTCAGCTATTAACATTTCCGGTATAGTCTAGTGGTTAGGATATCAGGTTTTCACCCTGGGGACCCGGGTTCAATCCCCGGTATCGGAAAAATTTTTTATTTTTTTTTCGTATTAACAATTGCTTAAATCAAATTATGAAATAAAATTAAATGATTCCAACAAGTATTGTAGTATGCGGAGGTGGAAATGGTTCTCATGCCACTGTGGCATCAGCAGGCCGTTTTGAAAACATTTAAGTGAATGTCTTTACCAGAAAGCCTCAAGATTGGAAACAAGAAATAGTGGGTTTGACAAAAGGAAGTCCATGGGAATCACTTGGAAATTTTGTTGGTATGACCTTATATTTTGAATTATCAAGGAAAAATTAATAAGGTTTCCAATAACCCCTAAGATTTCGCAGGGGCAAAATTATGGATCATAGGAGGACCAGCTCATGTTCATCATGAAATATTGTAGAAGATTGCTCCATTTGTGACCAAGGATTCGTTTGTGGTAATTACAATTACAATATAATCAAGGGTACATTGTATGCGTAAGGTGGATTTGAATGGATGTGCAGGAGTGTTTTTGGAGATAGAATCAGAACCGATAACATCACTTACTTTGGTCTTTACAATATACCTTGGCTATGCAAAATATTCAAATATGGAGAATCTGTAAGAATAATTGGACCAAAAACCAAGCTTTAATGTGCACTCTCAAATCTAAACAGGAAGGAAGAACTCTTTTTATTATTAGAGAAAATGTTTTAAATCCCTGTCCTTTAAGCACCCAATTTTTTGACTTTAACCTTAACTCCTAGCAATCAAATCATTCATCCTGCTAGAGTCTATGCTGTATTTCGAGTATGATGATTATGTATATTTTTAGAATTGGGATGGTAAATAAGTTTATCAACCTAGTGAAGTGCCCACATTTTACGAGGATTTTGATGATTTTAGTGCCTACATGCTCCAAATTTTGGATGATGAAATCTAAGCTATCAAAAGAGAGATTCTCAAAAGATACCCTCATTTTAATTTAGATCTAATCATACCAATTAAGGAAAGAATTATTTAATAATACGGTGATCAAGTTAAAGACAAATCTAATTTGAAAACTGTATTCAGAACTAATGCTGGATATGCTACTATTTAAATACCTACCAAACCTGTTTAGGGAGGAGTGTAATTAAACACTGAAGCCAGAATCTTTTGGGAAGACATTCCTTATGGATTATGCATTCTTAAAGTAATATGCTTGTAAATTCTAGGATCTTTCAGAAATGCTTGGTCTTTAAACTCCTGGAACCGATAAAATGATTGAGTGGCATCAAAAGTTTATGAATAAGGAATATATTCAAAATTCAAGATTAAATAGAAACCTATTAAAAGAAACAGGAGCTCCTTCTAAATATGGATTGGATACATTAGAAAAAGTATTAGGTCTTTAAGAGGTTTCCTCATAAAATCCAAAATTGTGAAGTTTATAAGTAGTCTAATAATAAACATAAATATTAATAATTATATTTATATTTATTACAATATATTGATATTACTCTGCCAAATATAATTTAAGAGAAGGAAGGTAGAAGGGATATTATCTTTACAGTTTTATATTAAGATAACAACAGATCTTACACTTAACTCGCCGTTTCGAGCAGTTTATCAGAGTATCATATGATTAAAGAGCAGTTTAAACAAATTTTGAAGTATCTATAGTATATGCTCTTCGTTAGACTGTCTGACATAACATAAAATTTAATATAAAAATAATAATATTAGTCTAAATAAAATAACAGCAACAACAACCTATAATAACAATAATCAATACTACCAAATACTAAAACTTATCAAATATGATATTTAAAGAAAGTTCTTAGCAATTGTGTTTTATGAATTAAGAACTTAGTTGAGGATAAGTTCATCCAAATTTGTCAGTATTGATAATTAAAATTATAAAATTAATTTCGAAAGAGTAATAATATATTTATCTTGAATGAAAGGTTTGCAGAATTAATTAGGAAAATCTACAGAAACAGGATTTTTAGATAACAAAATAAAGATCTAACATAAATCGTTTCAAGAAGGACATTTAGAGATTTTAGAGAATCTCACATCTTCTATAGTCGGAAAATCAATCATAGTTGAAGCATAAAGAATAGTTAAAGTCTTGGATCAATTAATTTAAGACATAGAAAATTGTCTCTATTTAGATACTGAGTTTATTACTCGTTTTTCAATTAGTAAGTTTTAAAAGGATGAAAAGTTGTAACTCACTGAAGAAACTATTAAAATATTACAAAGATAAGCAGAGCTTGAACAAAGATTTAAGCAATATGCAAATTTACAGACAGCAATAGGTTAAGGAGAGGAGATAGAAGAATCAAAAAAAGTGGAATCCGATCAGTTGGAATAAGTACTGTATGAAAATTTCAAGATTTTGTTGAGAAGGATATAACATAATCCAAAGGAGCTCGAAATATTAAAAAGTATGAAGAAGAATGTGAATAACGAACTAAATGACTATTTGCATGGGGTAAAGTGCTTAAGGACCATAATGCTCAAAAAATTGAGTATTACATAAGCAGAAAAGAGCATTTAAATTTAACAGCTTGAAAAAATTAAGTCAAATGTATATTTCATATTTAATTTTAGATAGAGGAATAAGAAAAGAAAAAACTATATTTAGAATAAGATTTATATAAATTAAAACAGTAAAACTCAAGAAATATTGAAGAGATGGAAGAATAGACTGAGAAATTAAAATAAGGCTTATGTAATTTGAAAATTGAAAAACAATAAAACACTAATAGCATAAAGAATTAGATAAAATCTCAATTTTAGTACCTTGAAAAGAATTAACAAACAAAAATAAATGAATTATAGACTTAACTCTAGGTTTTGAAATCAAAATTCAATAAATTAAAAGATGAAAATACTTAAGAGGAAATCAAATTAAAGAGAATTAAGTAAATTCAAGAATAAGGTTTAACTGATGGAGTATAAAACTATGATTTGATGATGGAGGAATCATCATAAAAATTACAAGAATTACAATAAGAATGTTCAAAAATAGAGTAATAATTAAGAGATCGAAAATCATATTTTGTAATAGTAGATGCACAAAAAAGATAGGAGTAAGAATTAGAAGAAAAGTTTTAAAAGTTAAAAGATTCTCATTAAATTGAAAAAGAGAAGAAAATGGAAGCAGCAAAACATATTCAGGGTTTTTTTAAATCCTATTAATGTATAATCTAAATATAATGTTAGCCTCAATTAAAAAGCCAAATAAACCAAAGCAGCAATGATTTAACAATAATATTTATTGACCAAAAATTCTAAAATTTATTGAATTAGTTTTTTATAAAATTTTCAAATATTGAATTGTAAAATAAATGTTATGTTATAATTAAAAATGATAAAATTGATATCTATAAATAATTAAGGAGAAACATAAGAATAAAGTCTAAAATGTATTTAAAATAAAAGTTCTTAAATATAAATTAAAAATTTTGTTAAATCAAAATTATTGTATATCAAATATTAATTTATCTATCACGATAAAGTTCTTCTTTGTAGTCGTTAAAGCAATTCCTTTATTATTAACATATTTTTAAAGACTATTGTTATGACTCAATTGTGTGTAATATTCTCTTTAGAACAATTTTCTATCCAGAATGCTTCTATTAATAGGACCTAATGGCTCACTATCTCTTTTGACATGCCCCCATAAGTGTTTATTTTTGATTAAAACATCCTTCACTTTAATGGGATTAAATGTCAACTCTTTTGGTTCTACCAATTTGTTTAATTCGAATTCTTCTTCACTGTCAGTATCGATCTTTCCCAAACTTTGTTATTGTTTGATCTTAAAATCAAAGAGTTTTTTTGCTTAGATCCTAATTTAATCTGTATTGGACAGCTATTCGCCATCCATAAATTTTTAATGAAAGGCTTTGGCGAGTTGAGATTCTTATTTATAGTAATAGATCTTGCTGATCAATTCGTATGCATTCAATTCGTATTCATATTCTTTGAAACATAATGCATATTTGAGGAATTTCTTACTATAATTTAAAGACCTTCTTAGATCACATTCCAAAAGATGTAGTTCTGATAGAAATTTATAGGCTATCATTTTATATTTAAATGACCTGTTGCCATTGCAAAAGACTAAAAATTTTTACCAAACTTAGATTGCTTTTTAGAGTAAATTATTAATTTGTAATATAAAAGCAAAAGCAAAGACTCCAATATTATAAAGATTGCCTATCCTTGTTTGCTTTAAGTATCTCTTGATTAGTTATTATATTATACTTTAAAATAAATGAGAATCTTTCCTCGATATCAGCAGGATCAGTATAATCAATTTGTTAGATTAATTTAACAGCTTATTATCTTCTATTGATGTAAGGGGAATTATCATCATCAAGAAGTTTGAACATTCTCTTCTCATCCTTTAAGAAATCATAGTCGTCCTAGAAGACCCACGGTTTCTTTTTTTTTGAGATAGAGGGTAGACTGATTTAGGAGATGCTTCTAATACTTACCATAGTTGATTCATCATTTTTTTATTAGGTTCTCGAACCTTTAACGTTTGGAGAACAACAGTAGATACTAAACTTCATTAAAATATAACAAATAATAATAAATAAATTGTCTTAAGAAACTATTCTAATAGCAATATTAAATGTACATAACCCTTGTGTGAAATAAATGAGTATCCTGATTGCTTATATAATTTAGATAAAATTGACAATTAAGTAATGTTTATTAAAGCAAATACTTTAAATTTAAGAATCACTCTTATTAAACTAATTTTCCTTTTTCCCACACTCCAACTATTTCCATCCCATCAGCTTCAATTAACACTCCTTTTCCATGTTGTTTTCCATTATGCCAAGCTCCTTTGTAGGTTTTCCCATCGGCAAAGGAGAAAACACCATAACCTTCCTTCTTATCCTCTTTATAATCGCCGACATATTTATTTCCATTCACCCAAATAAACGTACCTTTCCCATACATTTAATCCTTAGCCCATTCTCCAGTATAGACCTAACCGTCTGGCCATTTGTAGGTGCCAAATCCATCGATCTAATCTTTGAAATAGTGTCCCTCATAGCAGTTTCCATTTGACCAAATATATTTCCCATTGCCATGTTTCATACCTCCCTAATATTGACCGGAATAAGTGTCTCCAGACACCCATTTTTCTGTTCCTTGACCATCTTTCTCATCATCCTTCCATTCTCCTTCATACAAATTTCCTTCTGAATCTACATTTTTACCAAATCCGCATTATAAGTCATCTAGCCAATCTCCTTCCTGAAATAAATGGATTATTAATGAATACATAATAGGAACCATCGGAACGAATCAACCTTCCTTTACCATTGGCCCCATGGTTCTACCAATACCCTTCATAATAAGTTCCATCTGGCCAATATTAACGTCCTTTGCCTTGCTTTTATTTATTTCTCCATTGTCCAACATATATAATCCCTGTGCTAATGAATTACTAGTTTGCATAGTGAATACAATTACATGAGGTGGTAATGAGATGCAATCATTGAATTTTTTGTTCAAATCAGGATCATATTGAAAGGGAGGGAGAGATTTTAATACTTTGTCTACCTTTGGGTTTGTTATATCTGGTTCTTTGACCTATATTGCTATATCTGAATCTGGGGCGTCGTTATTTTTAAAAAGGTAGCTGTCTGACTCTTATTAGAGAAAGCGGTGCTTTAAGGGTTCAACTTTAGTAAGGTCGTTCTTGCTAAGCATTGACTTATCGTTTAAATCAGATCTTGGTGAAGTAAACTAAATAAGGATTAGCATTTACTCCACTATTTATAAGAGGTTTGGATGAGTTTTCTTTGATTTGTATCTGGTTAGTTTGTTATTAGTGTTATTATTGTTATTGAGATTCTGAAGCTCGACGTTGCGTGTTTTATTGTGACGACAAATTTGTGCTTTATGATTATCGAGATTAGATTTGTCGTTGTTATTGTTATCTCTGAGGATGTGGCTGCTTTTTAATACATGCTGAACCCATTCCGAATTTTAATTTATATATATTTATAGTATTTTAACTAAATATCATCTGATGTACTGATTCTCATCCTTGGCTTAACTTGATTGCATCCTTGATTGATTCATCCTGGATTGTTACATAATAGCTACAAATTCTAAACCATTATCATACATTAAGTTTTACTAGTCTTGTCTAGTCTGGTTATTTCTTGGGTTTATTGGCTTTCAAGTTCTTTTCTCACATTTTGATATTTTTAAAGTAACCTAAAATATAATCTACAAAATCACTTTTCTAATTCTTGAGATCGAATTTTTCTTTATTCTTCTTATCCGCTCAATATTCTCTATGTCAGAGCATTCAACTCATTGATTTATTTCTATCTCAATTGTGTAATCAGATTTCTTATCTTCTATTACCTACATGAGGTCCACTTCTCATATTCGTCTCTTTCTTATGCCTAAATTCGAGATTGAATCATATGAGCCTCCAAATAACTAAATGCATAACACATTTTAAATACTTCTCTTATTTAGCCAATTATTCTTCAGTCTTTCTCAAACCCAAAAGCTCAGCTGAATCCTTGGGTTTTACTGGAAGTGAATTCTCCAATTCTTCAGAAAATTATCTTAGTTCATCCTCGTGTCTTTGAAGTGTTTATTCCTTCACCTTTTGAGCCTCGTTATCAAACTCTGTCATTTTTTCATCCCAAAATGAATTAAATTAATTAAATTCCTCAAGATGTGCTTTCTCAATCTCTTATTTCTCTGAACAATGTCTATCCTTGACATCTCCTTTGTTTTTTAATTCTAATTCCTTCTTTAATTCCGCCAATCTTTTTTTGGCCTAATCTGCTTCCAAATACTTTCCAGCCTTCTCACAACTCTTTTAATGATCATATAATATTTGACTACTATCAATATTATTTATTACATATATTCTTCCAAATCTCCTTATTACACAGGAAGATTATTAGTGCCTTTCCTTGATGAAGTAGGTCTTTAAAATTAACTCATTATTGCAGAAAATTAGATTTTTAATATTAACGTTAAGAATTAATTTCTGCATTTATATACATATATAGTTGAAATCATTATATTTCTAAAAAGATACTTTAATTATTAGATTTATACGAAATTTTAAATCAGCATAGCATCATAATTTATGAATATCATATTAAATAATCATGTATTTTGTATCAAAAAAATTCAAATAAGATGAATTATAAAAAAAAACCTTTCCAGACCTTAAATAATTTAGATGTTTAACAATTTAGATAGTTTATTCTAAAGGAAAAAGTTTATAAAGTATATTCTTCTCAAAAATTGCATTTAAAATCTAAACTAAAGCTTTCCTCTGACACTAATCTTAAATAAGATATTAATTTTCATATATATAATGAATTAGTCAAGTTAATTAACAAATGTTATGAATTTTAAACAAGCTACCAAAATTCTGCCTTCTATAAATCAAATTCAAGGTTGCTTAAACAAACCATAAAAGATGAACTTAAGAAAAAATTATATCAACTTTTTAACAATAATTGCAATTGCAGTTCTGATAAATGAGTTAAAAATTAGATCTTAAATTTAATGAGAAAATAAATAGATAATTATTCAAAGTATAAATAAAGATATCAATGTTAATTTTATTCCCTCTTAATAACGATCCAAATAATAAATAAGATAATTATAAATAATATTAATAGGAGATACCTATGGTAGTACTCGCACAGCCTTAAACTGTGGATTAGAATGAATATTGAAAATTAGGGATCAATTCTTGAATGGTTTTTGGATTAAAATAATTTTTATTTTTTATAATATTTGTTATTACAAAAATGAATAAATTAGTTTTCAAATATGGCCTTATTGAGTTATTCTATATTTGGAAATTGGAATCTACAATTTGAATTAAGAATCCAAAAATAATTTAATTAATTTAATGATGAGCAATTCCAAAATAAATTTCATCAATTACTATTAAGAGATCATTCTTTGGATTTGAGATAAGTTATCATTACAAATAAATTTATTTTCAATTGCAACTAATTAATATTTATTTCTCATAAATGGGATAAACTTGTACAATGAACACATGTTGTAAGAAGGAAGAGATTTATACTTTACGAAATTCGGCATTATCTCTCGATATCTAAATTAAAAAGTCAAAACATTCCCAATAAATCAATAAAGAATAGGAAAAAGTGGAGGATAAAAAGTAAAAAAAGAAAAGTGATACTGTTTCTGATTTAATGGTTTCCTCATAACATAGTAAGGTGTCAATAAAGCAAATCGAAAAGAATCTTCCTATTCAAAATCAAGATGCAAACTAAAATCCTCTAATAAAAAAGAGTATGGCAACTAATGAGAGAATTAAGCTTCCAGTAAAAATGTAAAGTTTAACTAGTTAATATTCTTGCCAAATGGCTCATCTTATGAGGGAGAATGGCTTCAAGGGAAGAGAGACGGTTATGGTAAATAATCTTGGCCAGATGGGTCAATTTATGAAGGAGAATGGAAAGATGATAAATCTTGCGGAAAAGTAAAATGAAATATAATTAAAAATAGGGAAAATTAGTTCATGCTGACGGAGATGTGTATGAAGGAGATTGGGTTGATGATGCTACAAATGGATTAGGCACCTATGTTCATGTGAACGGAGCAAAATATCAAGGAGAGGTAAAGGATTTAACACATTAGAAAGTGGTTAAACGATAGTTAACATGGAAGAGGAATAGAGACTTGGCCAGACGGAGCCAGATATGAAGGAGATTATTAGTTTGGGAAGAAGCACGGTAAAGGGAAATTGAATTTTGCTGATGGTTCTTTTTATCAAGGTAGGCCTAGGATATTATATTTAGGTGAATTTAAAAATAATGAAATCTAAGGTGTTGGAAATTATCAATGGTCAGATGGGAGGTAGTATGTTGGATAATGGAGTAAAAATAAAATGCATGGCAAGGGAGAAATAAAGTGGTCAGATGGGCGACAATATACTGGAGTATTTTAGTGTTAATAAGCTAGGAATATGAAAACGATAAGAAACATGGCAAAGGAGTGTTTATTTGGTAAGATGGAAGGAAATATATTGGAATTTGGTAGGGAGGCAAATAACAAGGAGTTGGAATTTATTATTCGACTGATAATGTAATGAGAATTGGAGAGTGGATAGAAGGAAAGAGAGTTAGATGGTATAATAAGGAAGAGATAAATGAATTGGAAAGAAAAGGTGTTCTCGACGAACTGAGAAATTAATGATTATATATTTATATTTAACTACATTACTCATTTGAACTTATTTAATAAAGTTTATATGTCAATACTTTTCCTATCAGTCGGATCAAAAATTTATTCTCTGTTTTATTTGTGTTTTTTGGCTGCTCTTAAGGGATTTCCTGCAAAGGCTTCATCTAATCCAACTAATTCTGAGATGGGATCAGGCTAGTTTATATATGAAATCGTTTACAGTAAATGATTGTTAAACCTAGGCAGTTTATGGTCGCTTTAATTTTGACTTTTCCAAAGGCTTTTATTTGATAGACAAACTTAATAATCTATTTTCATCAGGTTCTTCGAGGAGATCCTTGTCTAGTTAATATTTAACCTTTTCTTCTAAATCCTTCAACTCCTCTACTTTAATGAGCTAAGAGTGATTAATTTAAAAATACGTCAAATTTAGAGTCCATCATTTCTGCTATATCGTAAAGTTATTTAATTTGACTTGTCTCTGAAAATATCTAGGATTCTGTTGGTATATCATTTTCGTCAATGTAGATTTCAGTAGCTGGTAGTTTTTCATATAGTTTATCCCTTAATTAATCATCTCTGATTATTGGATTTGAACTAATTATCAATTATTGTAAATTTAAGGATTCTAAATAATCAATTTGGGATTCGTCAGCCAATTCATTACCTTCAATGTCCAAAATGGATATCTTTTCATGAAATGCTAACGGACTTATATCTTTGATATTATTAAAAGAACAATAAAATTCTAATAAATTTGGCATACTCATAATTCCTAAAAGTACGATTAAATATAATAGTTGTACCAGAGATATCAGTTAATTTTGAATTGCTAATCCATAGAATTTGTAAGTTTCTCAATTTAGTTCCTAACAATCTCAACGATTCAACCTAGGAGTGATTCAATTTAAGTTCTTGTAAATTTGATAAGTATTCTCCTAACATATATAATGAATCATTCATAGTATTGAATCTAAATTAAATGGATGTGATTTATTCAAACTAATTCTAGGTTTAATTTGTTAGATATATGTACTTCATTCTTTTTCGTAATTTCTTATAAAGTATCTATGTCCATAGTATCGTATATTGTGTCATCGATTTTTCTTTTGGCAATTTAGAATTGAAATACAGGTTCAGATACTGGAGATTCTTAATTTTTAATTAGAGATAATTTCTTTGTTTCGACTTCTTCATCTTTTTTGATTTCAATTTTTTTTCCATGTAATGAGGATCTTCTAATTATTGAAGGCTTCGTTACTAAAGAGTTATTGAGACTTTATTCTTGATTTTGTAGGATAGACTTTTCTTCATCCTATTGTTGCTATTTTGTAGATGACAACCTTTTTAATGCGAAAATAGGGGGTTTTTATTCTTTGGTTTCTATTGATAATTGTTCTGTATTCTTTTAGAGTTTTTTAATCATTAAAGGTCTTGTAGGTTAGGCAGATGTAATTCTGTTTGTTATAATGGATTGCTTTAGTTGGGAAACCTTACTTTAATCTAATAATTTAGAAGAATTAATAGAAGAAGGAGGCTTAGATGAATTCGGTGTTCCCGTCTCTTTATAGAAATTGGATGTAGCAGTGGACATTGCATCGAGTTTACTTTTCTTCATGTTTTCTTGCCTATCGCCAACCTGTCTTACTCTAAAATTTCCCTTATAGTCATCACTGATGAATTCTTCTGGAGCAACTTTCCTACTTTTCTCTTCTTAATATTTTTGAACAAAACTTTGTGCTAATGACTCCTCTAGTCTATCTAATAATTTTTAGTTTAATTTCATTCAAATTTTATTATTTACACTAACAAGTTTCATTTATATAATTATTTTATTAACTGCCACTCACATGAGTTAATTAACAACAAACAAAGGAAATATCTATGATGAAAATGCCATGACAGATTAAAAAGGGAAGATCAAATCATAAACTTTATAAGTCTTTGTATCACCAAATGAGCAACCGACACTTTTGAGTTAGAATTTTGTATATGATGGATTCAATACTCCAAAAGTATGAATAAAATACTATTTAGATCCCATGTTTGTATCATAAGGGGAATATTTTAACCAACTTTTGTTCATGCATTCACTGTTTGCTTCCATTATGTCCACAATGTGTAGAAGAGCATATTATAAAACATAAGGTAGAATAGACTGCAAATAAAATTGAATGTTTAGAAAATGTCCTTAATACTGTGTATAAAAATATTGTTCAAGAAAGTTTAAATATAATCCTAATTTAAATAGCTAATTTCTTTGCCAAAAGTTACTTTGATTTGAAAAACAATGTAGATAGTATGACTTTTGCAACTGATAATACAATCAATAAATTACTTGATATTTAAACTCGTATAATTAGAGTCGTAGAACAATTCTTCAAGTCTTTGATTAATGATGTTCAAAATAAGCAAAAAAAGAATTAATAAAATTAAGAGAAGGATGCTGAATCACTCAAACAGTTGGTATCATTTGTAAATGATTTTCTAGGTGTAATAAAGATGGTCATCCCATGTTACATTTTTGGAAACTTTGAATTCTGAAAGTAGTATGACATCAGTCATTCAATTTTTTGGTACATCTTTAATTGAAGACAATCAGAAATATTTCAATATCTTGGATGAATACTCAAACAGATTTGAATAGATTACATCAGACATCATTTTCCATTAAGAAAAAGCGTAATTCATAATGATTATATCGTATAGAATAGAAATTGCTGCTCATTTAAGTCACATAATCAAGATTAGACATAATGATGTACCAGAATTCATTAAAATCCACACTCTACCAAGTCCTAATATTTCAGATGCTGTCTCCTTCCATTCCAAGGCTCCTAGTCATATCAAACCTTCATAACCCCTATACCCATCAATCTAGTAGTCAGCCTTCACTCCCCCCTAACATGTCATCACAGGAGCCACGAGAATACTCGACAGTGGCACATTTTACACAGACAAACGTTACACAGACTCATTGAATAGGCTTCCATAGTATTAAATGAGATGATGAATTTTTCATATGTAACATAAGACTATACTTATTTACATCTTATTAATAATTAATTATTGGTTATAATATTCATTTCTAATTAATTTATGAAGAAAAATGTTGGAAGTTCTAGTACTCCAAATTCTAAAAAGAAATTGACTATGGATTTTTAATAGGATTAATCCTAATAATAACCATAAACTAGTTAATTCATTTCAATAGAAGATCAATCTCAAGGGGATTAGCCTAAAGTAAAAAGTCTATTAATTAAAATAGAATGATGAATCCATAATTAACAATGATTTTACTTAAGCTTGCAGCACTAACTTAGTCTAATAAGAAAATCAAGACAATTTAGATAATCAAATGGGAGATACAAATGATGATGATGCTAAAATTAATGCAGATTCAAATATTGTAAATTCTGGCGAAACAGATAAATTAAATCTAATTAACCATCAAATTGAAAATAATCTAATCAATGAGATTTCATAAAATGAATCAATCGTTGTGCAAAATTAAAATCCAGATTAATATTAAAATCTAAAATAAGAAAGTATTTAACATAATTATAACAGAAAGTCAATATTTTAATCCCCTAGAAAACGAAGATACAATTCAACAGACCAAGAAAGAAAGACAGTAATTTAGTAATAAAAAAAAAATCACTATTGAAATAAATAATGACGAAATTGATATTTACAAATAAGATATTGATTCGGCATAGTAAATTAATTCCTAACTCTCTTTGAGACTGCAATAAGAATAAACCAATAATTTAGTATAATAATAAGATATAGAAGGTAGTTTAGAAGATAATCAAGAATAGAAGTTAATCCAACTAGAAGATATTATCGAAAATGACCTGAAAATGTAAACTTAAATTGCAGAAGGTGATAGGTAAGATGTAGAAGTGGATAATTGCGATAAAACAGAAGAAAATAACTGCCAAGAATCAATTGAAGAGGATACTAAAAATGTAAATACTTAAATCATTTCTGAATAATTACGATAAATAGAAAAGGGATCATCAGAGCAGGGTGAACATTTACCTGATTTGAGCTAAGAAATAAAATAGGATAATTAAGAAGTAGAATAATAATAATCAAATTAAATATAGATAGAGGATTATTAGAATATTTCTGAGGAGGAGCTTTAGTAGAATTGTTTTAAAAGGGAAAACTCTTTTGAAAATGAAAAAAAAGGAGAATTAGAATAATTAGACGAATTAATTAATGAAGATGCATCGTAAGAGATTGTAAAGGCTAAAACTGATGAAGCAAGCATTAATTAACAAGAGAACAACGAAATTAAAGAAGATAATGAATCTAAATCTTCTGATAAAATTATATAAGAAACACAAAAATCTATAGAATAGCCTAATCTATTAGAAGATGATACAGAAATGAAATAAGAAAGTTAAGATAGAGTTTAAGAATCTTAGTGTAATAAAAAGGAATTAACAACGGAAGTTGAGGATAACAAATAATCTTAAAATTAAGATAAGGATGAATAACATAATTAGGATGAAAATTAAGAAAATAGTTAATGTGAAATTTAATAAAATAGTTAAAGTGAGGATGAATAAAATAAATAGGATGAATACAAGGGAAATAGTTAAGGTGAAGAGGAATAAAAATATAGTTAAAATGAAAATAGACTCAATAGTTCAGATGATAAATAATTCTAATTCGCTGATTCAACAGATTAGAAAAAATCTATTAGAGAAAGCAATCTTTAAATTATTTAGGTTGATGAAGAAAACAGAGAAGAAAATTAAATTGAGATTAATGAAGATTAAGGAGAAAGCAATCTATCAAAAATTAATGAAGTATGTTTATATGATAATTTATTATCATAAGAGGATGATCCTTCAAAAGAAGTTTAGTAGGATGAAGAAATTATCATTTAAGCATAATTTGAATAATTGTAATTGAGTGAAAATTTAATATAATCATAAACTAAATAAGAAGAAGAATAATAGCAAATCATAGTTAAAAATGAGGAGGAAGAAATCTTTGATAAGATCAATAACTTAGAATATTAAGATAAGGATATTAGGGTCTTAATTGAGGATCAAAATATCTTATTAGACAAATAGGAATCAAATTATTAAGAAATTTTTTCATAAAAAGAGTTTTATTAAGAAAGCTAATAGGAAGTAGAAAAAACAAATTTAAATAATAATTCTAATTAATAACACTCAGATAATTCAGAAGATATATGTGAATAGCTACAGAAACTAACAATATAGGACATTGAGAGTGAGAATGAGTAAGAAATTGATTTAAATAATAATCATATTTAATAATAAGTGAACTTAGAGGATATTGAAACAAACAAATAATGTATCTTCTAAGAAGATGTTAACCTGCAACTTGAGTAAACAAAGCTACAAAGCGAAAATAATTAAGAGGAACATTAAGAACCAACTTAATGTGAAGAAGATTAAGGATTTTGTAATAAAGAAATAATTGAAGCAGAGAATAGTCCAAAAATAGAATAAAAGACAGTAATGCTCAATTTAAATTGCAATGATGAAGAAATGGAATAAATATAATAATAAGCTAAAAATGTTTTTTAACCATAAATTAATAATTTTTCTTAATAAAACGAAAAAATGGATTAGGACATCGAGTAGACTGAAGATCATTAGATGAACTCAAACTCCTAACAAAATGAAGAGGGAACCCTAAGCAAAAATTAATAAGATTCAGACCTTACAAATGACTTAATTAATAATCAGCCTGAATCAAACCAAAAAAAATAATCCATTAAATTAATTGACCATTCCGAACAAAACAAAGACTCTTAGTAAGAGGAAAACATTTTGAAATCACAGAAACACGAAGAAAAATAAGGAGATGAGCGTCAGAATGTAACATTTTCTTCTCAAAAAAAAAGTGATTCATAAAAAGAAGGTTACTTTCTTTCTCAAAGCAAAATCCAATTTTATGAGGATTCTTTAAATTAGAATCAATTTAATACTAGCTTATCACAAAATCAAAAAGAATACAATTCTTCAAAAAGTAACGATCAGACTAATTTTGATTTGGGACATGCAGAATAATATAGGGATACTTATTTCAATTAAAACTCAGACGATTTACAAGAGTAGAGGAAATAAAAGATAAGAGACTTAAAATAATAAATTGATTAGGCTGAAAGCGAAATCATAGAGAAAGATTAAGAAATATAATAAAATTAAGAAATGATTACTAATTTTGAAACCTTTGTTTTGGGAAATACCAATCCTGAAGAGTTTGAGAAGATTATATTGTCCGAAAGGAATTTCGAAACCGAAAATTTATTGATTACCCTTTTGATTAATAAATTAAGAGAATTTATACAAGAATTTTAAAATTCAATCATTGATTTAATAAATAGATTTGATGGTAAAACAGAAATAGAGAAAGATGAAGAATACGATAGAGATAGAGAAACAAAAGATCATGAAAAGCATTTACAAGTGATCTCTAATGAGTTCAAGAAATTTAAACAAAAAAAACAATAAAAAAAGGAAATAAACGATAATAAAAATTAAGTTGTTATTTAAAATTTGGGTGAAGCTGATTAGAAAATAATCAATGAAGAACTCAATACACTCATTTTCAATATTATTGGATAAACAAAGTTGTTAAGGGATAGTTTGTAAAAGAATTGTTGTCTTCTTGTTAAATTCAATTGTGAAGTGTATAATGGTCTATAAGGAATGTCCAAAAACATCAAATAACTTGAATAAATTAGAAGGCTAACTAATTCAGTTAAATTAACAACTTAACACTACTAATCTATTATTAATGATTAAATTGATTTGTAAGAGGCTAAGGATGATAATAATCACATATTACTGTTAGATTTGTTGAAATAGCTAATACATAAACAAGAATAAGCATTTTAGTTTCAATAATTATTTACAAATTATTTATCTGAAAGGATTGATCTTGTTCATTAAAGCGAAGAAAATTTAAGGGAGGATATGGCTAAAAGATTACAAACTTTCAATTGATATTAAATTATTAATATTTTTCACAAGCAAATCTTTATGATTCCTACTCTTGGTAATTATTAGAAATGCAAAGTTTTAATTCATAAGTTTTTTAATATGGATTTCTATATTGAATTAATTTATTTAATTTATTATTAAATTTCTCAAATGCTATATAGTCAAGACTTGAAAAACAAGGCATCTGCAGTTATATCTAACACAAATTTGGGATGGTAACACACCGGAATAATCTGTGATTGTCTCTAAGATCGATATGAGATTGAGATGAAGTATTCGAAAGCAATTGAAAAATTGGCTACAAAATTGGCTCCCATCAATGAATTCTTCAGTGCTTCTTTTGGAATCAGGGCATAATTATCATCACAATTTGCTGAGGAAATAAAGGGAGAAATTGATATAATGAAATAATTAATAGTTACATAGAAAGCAACCTAGTATTTAGATTATGTGAAATTGTGGGATAGTCAATTATAATCAATAAAATCAAATCTTAAAGCAGCAGAAGGATACCTCAAAAATAAGAAGAGAGAATATGAAATCGAGGGAACTTTGGAACTTGTATTTTCAGCCTGTCAACCAGAGAAACTAGAAAAATAGAAAAACAAGTATTATTAGATTCGATTTTTAGAGCTGCTGCATGTAAGAAGGATTACCAATAAGCAAAGGGGAATTACTTAGAATTAAAATAAGAAATGGAAATGTTGTTGAAAGAGCAAGAAGCAGAAGCAACCCTCGATCAACTCTAACAATTAAACTTATAGAGACTCAATGCAGTCAAGGATTGCATTCTAAAAATATTTGTCTATGAGTCTTCGATCGCGAAAAATCACTTATATGATTTAGAGAAGATGTCTGATGTAATTTTGTTTATTATTATATTAGAGACTTCATGATCAAGATTAAAATTAATTCATAGAGGATTTCATCAAAAAGACAAAGTAATAAGAAACTAATCCAATTGACTTAGACTCTTTTCTAACTAAATTACTTGATAGTTAGGGCTAATAATAAATATACACGACTAACATCTACCCTATTGGGTTAGAAAAGACGGAAGAGCAAATTGAATAAGAAACAAAAGAAATATAAGAATCACCTCAGAAATAAGAAGAATTTTTGAATTTCTTATCCCAAAAGTTCAATTCTAGTTTATTTCAATTAACTCTCCAGGAATTTATACAATGCACTAATATATCGATTGGAATTTTGGATTTTGTAATGATATTGTTGATTATTTTAGTGTTATGAAAATAAAAATGCCATTTTGGCGCAGTAGTTACTTTAATTTAGTTTTGGACTATTTACAAAGGATATTCAAACTAGATATATGTAAGACATGCTTGTGAATCATCAAATATGGTAGCATCGTGATTATTGGGAGGCTGTTATTATAAATTAAATATCTAAGATAAAGAAAGGAACGAAAGAAAATGTCAATACAAGCATTTTAAGTATATTGACTTAAGTAGCCTAACACATGTTGATGTTTAAATTATCGCCAGATTTAGTTAGGGACATTGTTTAAAAGTTTTCTTCATTTTTTAAATTAAACAAAGAAATAGCAGATGATCTCATTGTATAATATAATTTAATCTAAAATAGTAAGCCATAAACAGTTAAGTTTGAGATATTATCCGTGTAATAAATCTTATTATCATAAATATTATAGTCTATTCTTATTATATTAATTGCACCAATGAGTTTGCTAAAAATTATTGATAGAAAATGCTATTTGCGTAATCAAGCAGTTTTCAATTCTATTAGTCAAATTTCTTACATAAAAGAAGAAGTGTATACTGATACTCGAATAAAATGGCGGGATGAAGGTTTTAGATACTTAATGGATGAGTATTAGTGACTCATAAATTAAGTAATGTATTTAAAATTTTATATGAATGGAAAATAAATGTAAATAATGAAAAGAATTTGAAATCAAAATTAGTAATCCACTTTAATTGTTCCTTCATTGGTTTAAATAGTATTGTTTATGGGTTAGACTTCTTTTTTATAATTCTAAGTCTTATCTTTTATTTCATTTTGCTTAGGAATCGATTATTGTAACTTTCGAAGGATTGTAGTTAATGATTAATCATAGTTTTTTGAAGTTAATGTTGCGTATTTATTGTACTTGAGTGGCTTTTGTAGTTTGATTTCATCAAAGATGGAATTTTTTTTAAGATTTTGAGAATTGAGTTTTTGCAATTGCTGAGTGAGATTAGTTAGCACATATTGTGAATTGTTCGATTAGGACTCTTATGGGGTTTTATCAAGAAGTTATTGTTTAAGTAATTTGATTTGGTCTTTGTGAACAGTTTTGGTTAGTCTGAATTTGCATATGTTGTGAGTGGCCATGAATATGGAATTTTTTAAGTCTTTTTCTATTTTAATTAAAATGTAATTTGTGTTCATTTCTAGATTTGAAACGAATTTAATACATCAGATTTAATTGGTATATAATAGTGCTGGAATTAAAGAAGGTCTGTCATGAGATTTGGCAGATAGAATAACAAAGTTTGTAATCACACAATGAATAAGTTGAGAATAATGAATTATAGATATTTAATGAAAAATAATATCGTCTAATTGAGAATTTTAATGACATATTTTGAAAATATTTTATAAATGTTTGAGAGGCAAAGGAGGAGATTGAGTTGGATGGACAAGAAGTAGGTGGTGATTGAGTTGAATTACAAAATTTATTAAATATTTTTATCTGACGAAAAGAAATGTTTGTCGACTTATGGTTAAATTTCTGTTGTGCAAGAAAGCCGAAGCAGGAAGCACAAGATCAACCTATAAGTGTAAAGGAGGATTCCAATAAACCAATACTTGATACAGGGTAAGTATATGCGCCATCTCCTGTTGAGCAGAAAGCTCTACAGTCTACATCTTAGGAGTTACGGCAGAAGTTATAGGAAGCTTAGGAGAAACGGCAGCAATAGTAGTAGCCGCAATAGCAGAACCACTTCCAGAATATGATAAATAAAGGGGCAGTAAAAACATCAATTGAAATGGAAGGTATATTGACAATTACTATTAAGAGTGGAACCTGTGGAAGGATTTCTCTCATTATCTGATAATAAATCCAATAAGATGGCGAGCTGGGAAGCGTTGGAACTCTCAAGATAAAATGATGTTTTAGGATAACTAGCACAGTTCTCAATCTTAGCTAAGTCTGTATCCTCTAACAACGGTCCATATTAAGGAAGTAATCCAGGAAGTTAGCCAGCGTCTGATTAATAGATTATGTCTGGACCCTATCCATAGTAAGATATCATTACGAATATATTAGGTAAAATATTCAAAATCTTGCTTAAACTGCATAATTGGATGTAATAGAGGAGTACCCAAAAAAATCAATGATGAAGTAATAAATCCCTATTCATCATTAGATCACAAAGCCAAATATCACTTGAAACTGGAAAAATTGAGAAAAAACGAATCACAAAAGATAAAAAGCATCAGAAGGAGAAAGCACATAAAGGATCAGCCAATGATAACTTATCAAAAAAAGAAGTCACTCACGCAAAACTTTGGGATAAGAACGAGGATGCTATCTTGAGACAGGCCTACATAAACTTTAATGGAAATTGGAGAAAGATAGCAGAGCAATTACCAGGAAGAAATATGAATTAGTGTTCATAAAGATGGAGAAGGTTGAATCCTTAAGAGGTATGTATCTTATTTTTATTTTAAGAATAATAAGAAGAAATGGGAATTCGAGGATGATTAAAAAATTATCTAACTTGTCAAACAGTACGATAAAAATTGGGCAGAAATAGCAAAACATTTACCAGGTAAAAGTGGAAAGCAAATAAGGGAAAGATATCTAAATAAATTAGATCCATCAATCAATACAGCTTCTTGGACCAAAGAAGAAGATGACATTATTTTGAAGGTTTACAAATAACATGGACCTAAGTGGAGTATCGCTTCAAAATAATTGAAAGGAAGACCAGTAAGCACTTATTTTTATTAATTAGGAAAATACTGTAAAAAACAGATTTTATTCATACATCAGAAGAGTCTTTTTGGGTCAGTAGAACCCATATTCAGTCGTTTTAAATAATGGGGACATTAGCGGCATTGAAAATACATTGTCCCAAGATAGTGAATCCATTAAATAACCTTTATCAATGGACTAAACTCCTTCAGTAATCATTTTTTAAATACTTAGTTCACTGCTTCTTCCTACTTAAGTTCTTTTATGGATGATGACTACATGGAAGATGAAGATGAACCAAATGAATAAGAAGATCAGTTTAAAATTTGATATTATTTTTATAATGGGAAATTAATGTAACCATGTTGAAATCACTGAGGATGAGTTCAAATCTGTACAAATTGAAGGTGACTCTGACTCATTCTTTGTCTACAAGTTTGATTCCAAATTCCCATCTCCAAATATCTCTGATCTTGGAAAGCTACAATCTCTTGATTCATCTAACAGTACTAAATCCCAATTTCATGATACAGTCAAAAAAGTCCCTTTCAATGTTAAATTACATCGAAAAAGAACCTTGAACTATGAAAGTATCCATGATTCACAGGCTCAATCCCCTACAAATTTGGTCTCTGAATATTTTGAATACCCAAACGGTGTTTATTAGGGTACATTAATTGATGGCAAAAGGGAAGGATAAGGTTAATTTTTTTATCATGATGGTTCATATTTTAAAGGAAGTTGGAAAAATGATATGGCAGATGGTTTTGGTAAAATCAAGTTTTAAGGGGGGGAACAATATGAAGGAGAGTTCAAAAATGATTAACAACACGGTTTTGGCAGGTACGTATCAAATTAATTGAAATATGAAGGATAATGGATAGAAAATCTACCTTCTGGACATGGAATTGAAATTTATAACAAATATTATATTTACGAAGGGGACTTTTAAAATGGAATGAAGCATGGGAAAGGGAAGATCCTATGGTATAAGGATGATTCAAGGTTTGAGGGAGAGTTTTTTGACAATTAAATCAGTGGATAGGGCATATACTATTTTGGAGATGGCGAGACATATGAAGGGGAATTCAAGGATGGAAAGATGCATGGCTACGGAAAGTTGGTATGGCCGAATGGGAAAATGTATGAGGGAAATTATTATATGGGGAGAAAGTAAGGATTTGGAAAGTTTACATCTTCGGATAAGGTGTATACTGGAGAATGGTATGATGGAGTGTATCATGGGTATGGGAAGATGGAAACGAGAGATAAAATAATAGAGGGATATTGGGAAAATGGAGTTTTTATAAAATGAATTTCTGTATATACTTTTTGTATTTTTTAATGAGAATTGCCGATTATTAATGTGTTGACAGTTTTGTATTCTGCCTTTGGGATTAAGATTACAAAATATTGATCTTAAGAGGGTTGATATTGGTTGGAATCAAATATTTTGAATGCAGATAATTTCTGATTATATTAATGAAATATAAATTAAAAACGGATGAAACGAATTGTATTGTTAACATATTTGTGCATATACACATTTGCGACTGATTCTGTGAAAGATTTCGACTTCCTGACTCAAAGCGATTATGGGAAAAAAGTATTAAAAGAATAATAGCTAGTTCTGAAATCTAGTTCAAGTAATTATATAAATAATTATCAAGATCCTGTCGATTTGATAATTAATCTGAATCATTTTGAATCTGAGCTTGTGATGGATAGTGAAAAGACAATGAAGGAGTATTAGACTGTCTATACACGCAGTATCAATTTTCAAAATTTATAATATAGATATTGAGAGGAAATAAGCATTGAAATAAAAGATCTTCTTATCAAAATATTAATTATAAAATGTTGGTGAAGAACTTACAATTGTCACAAAGGAAAAAGAATTTTCAGGAAAAATATTCGAAGAAAGAAAGAGATTATTAACAGAAGAGAATAAATTTGTTCCTTAGATGCAAGCTATTCGTAATGATGAAGTAAGTTTCAAATCAATTATTTGCTAGATTGATAAACTCTAAAATTTAAAAAAGGAAATAAACCAAACCTCTAAAGTCATAAATTCATTTTTATAACACTTTTAAGGCTTAGCTCATTTCTTGGCCAAAAAACCAGATTTGAGTGAGTCACCAGCCTTCTTAGCTAACAACAAATAGAATGATGAATTGAATAAGTTTAAATCAATGTGCAATGATATCAGAAACGATTTAGATACTGTTGTTATTGATAACCCTTACACCCTAGTATTATGTATATTTCCATCTAATATTCCAAGTTTCGTTGAAACCATTATTGGCTCCTGAAAATGCTCATTTGATTGAAGAGGTTCCTTAATTATTAAAAACCTTATTACTTGCCTTGGAATCAAGTTCAGAAGAAATTGAAGCTGTAAGCAACGAGAGACAAGAGTTGTTCAATATTGAAAGAAATGAGCTTAAAAAAGATGTTGATAAAAGATCAGCTGAAGTATAGTCTCAATTTAAATTAAAATAGTGCGATTAAATTAAATAAATATTTGAAAGATCCTCAGTTGATTTAGAGAACTTGACTAATTAACAAAGTGATTTGAAGAAGAAGATTACGTAATTGTAGACAGAATAAGAACAACTATAATCCGATATGGAAGGATAACAAGTATTGAAATTATTATATCTAATAGAGAGAATACAGAAATAAGTTAAAGAATAATTTAGCCAACTTAGGTTTAATTAGGAAAATTAAATACTTGTTAAGTTAAAACAATAAAGGGTATTTGCAATTCATTAAAAATTAGAAATGATGAGCATATATATTTGTTTTAATCTATATATTTACATCATAATTAAACTTCAAGCTTATTGTATAGAACTTGTCATTGGATTGAATGCTCTTTAATTCTATTGGTCAATTATACATAATTTTTGATTTATAATATTGTGATTCATGAGTCTTAGATGAAATTGCAATTGAATACATCTTGTCTATTTTATCAAGCACTTTTTAATACGGATTAATAATATTGTTATAAAGTGTGCGTTTATGTAGCAAATGGATATATTTATTTTCAAATGGAAATCATCGAAACCTATCACAATTCAAAGTAATTGATTGGAGGAGATCGCAATTAAAACGAACTAGTGATTGCTTAATGGGGTGGCAATGTGCTATTCAAGAGGAAAAACGCAGAGGACGTTAAAGTCAATACTTTTTGTGTAGGTAAAGAATCAATTGATAATAAAGGCCTTCTTAAGATTACAGGTGATAAATATTTGTGCTTTACCAGCAAAAATCATTTATTACAAATAAATGAAGATAGAAAAATCGAATAAATAGATTAACAAGATAGTCCCTACTTTGTTTGCGACTTTTATTTGAAAACTTGTCTATTCATGCATAATACTATTTAATAATAACGATTTTTGTGTCTTTGGAATATGCTGACGTAATAGAAATCCAAATATGAACATCTCAGCAGCATTACAAGTGTAATGGCTGCTGATGATGGCATTTGGTTAGGAGATAAGGATGGATATTTGAATTTTATAACTTATAAATTGAAGCTTCAAAAACGTGTTAGAAGTATATATTTCTATTAGATCATAGTATTTTCAAATGAAATCTCCAAAATCTAAACAATGAACAAGAAAATATATTGTGTTTCATAGAAGGAACTAAAGCTATTTTTCCAAGATTAAATTGTCTCAATCTCTACCTTCGATAGTGAGATTAGCTGTATTGGTGCATTCAAAAATAAATTGATATTGGGGACAACAACTGGATAGTTAATGATTTAAGAAAATTAGAAGATTTTTGCAAAACATCAACTACATGCTAATTCCATAACGAGTGTCTCTGTTAATGGTAATCAAATTGTAACAACCAGCAGTGATCGCACTGCTAAAGTCATTCAAATAAGCTGAGAATGATAAATATATATAGATATAGAAACAAATTAAGATAAAATTCTTATATAAATTTAGATTATCATAATGAAATAATACTCTTGGATGCTTCTTCTACACATCAATATTCTTGTCTAAGAATATCAAATTTTCAAATTTTAACTATTCTAAACAACACTTGATCGTTTTTAAGAATTTAATTATAAACATTTACTCTTATTTTTTAATTATTAAATGAATTAAATACCTTAATAAGATGAGGAAGGCTAAAATTTAATAGTCAATGAGAATACACAAGAATAATATCAACCTCAAGTGTAAAGATTCTCCTCGAGTTCAAATTGGGAAGAATATGATAAACCAAAATAAAAACCAGATCAATCAGGTCCATCTAAATTTGATGCCATTGTGATTCTGATACTTTTATTAATGATTGGATTATCTGGATTTGGATTATTAAAACATTACAATGGTAATGAATGATGGTTCTATGCATTAGTTGTGATTCCGAATAAACCAATAGAAAATAATGTACGTGTTACTCCATAATTAGTTCACCCAAAAGAATCAGTTGTTTAAGATGTTTTTAATAAAATAAGTGAAGGGCTATAAAATTTAGGTCAAGAGAAGGTTGAAAAGTAAATTCCGAAAGAAGATGAATAAACCTTAGATGAAGTACTGGATAATTATTTATCAAAAATCGAGTAATATAATGACATACGTACAGATTGGATTGATGATGATGATATCCAAATTAAGAATAAGGAAAATGATACTATAAACAAATAGGCATAATTGGAGCAATAGTTGGAATAATAGTTAAATATTGTGGATGACTTAGAAGAATTGATCATATCACAAGAAGCTGAAATATCAATAATTAAGCCAGTCTTTTCAAAGAATATTTATACATATAAAGAATTACAAAACGGATTAAAGATCTTATACATCTAATCTCCAACTGAAGGCATAAACTTGGTTGTATCCATTAATATTGGCAGTATCAATGACCCATAGGAATATCCTGGATTAACTGAGCTAATGTTCAGATGTCTATAAACCAATTTCTAGGTTGAGGTTCATGAATAATTCACTTTTTTGAAAGTCTAATTAAACCTATTGGAAGAATTAAATGCAAAATTAAAGGAGCTATTTATTATATTCACATAACCTATGTTTGTTGATATTGTAAAAAATGCTAAGGAACTCTATGAAAAAATGATGAATGATTCTAAGTCTGCTCATTTCCAATACGTGTCTCAATTTTTAAATTCATTAGCAAACTTAAAAGAATTATCCATTCTATCTGTTGAATAAGATTACCTATACCAATTTTATACCGAACATATCTCTTCGGATTCAATTAGTTTTGTTTTCAAAAGTCAAGAGGAGTATGAGACTCTTTAATCCAGACTATTAACATCTGATTTAATGAAATTGAAAAATTTGCACAAGTATCATGATCCAACCTATGAAAATAATTATCCATAAAGCAGACAAATTCTTAAATTCAGGAGTGACACAGATCTACTACAACTACTCTCAATAAGTGACGAATTAAGTTGTCAAAGATTTTTATCATATTTATTACCAAAGCCATTCACAGGATCTATCCAAGAAAATTAGTTATCTATCACATTAGACGTAGAGGTCGGTAATGCTTTAAATACTATTAACAAATTTATTTCGTTTCTCAGCTTTCTATAATCAGCTGATGAAACCTAATTAACATATTTGTATTCCCAAATGTTGGCTACTGAAGAATTATTGTTTAATACAAAATATCAGGAAGATTTAACAAAGATTAGTTAGAATCTATTCAAAGATCCAATATATGGATTAAAAGGAGAAGAGAGTTTCCCTATTTTTGATAAAGATGAATTTGATTAATATTTAACTAATCTATAGAACAACTTCATCATTTTGATAGGAAGTGATAACTTTTAATTTGATCCTAATCACAAATCAATAAATGACGATTCAATATTTATTGTTGATGCAGTCCTAAATAAACTTCATTAAGAATTTCAATATGATTTGAAACTTGTAACTAAAAAATTTGATGAAACAAATCAATATCAATTCTAATTGCCATCATTAAGCACATTTTTACCAGAGAATTTGGCATTAGTATCGGTTTGTCAAGCACCAACTTAATACAATACTCAAGATGAAAGTAAATCTTAAGTAGATGATTTAATTAATTCTGTTAAAGATGGAAAATATGATGGGTCATAACTGATTAAGTTTGAAACCATTGAATTTAAGTGTGAATTTCCTATGCCTAATTTTATGAATAATTGCACTGAATAAGAAAAAGCTGCTCAAATATCCTTGGTTCCATTCTAAATTTCTAGTAATGTATGGTGGAAACCAAGTAGATTAGGGGCTATGGTGTTTACAGGGCTGTTTATAGAAAAACCAGAATCTACTTTGGTTGAAGGGAAAACAATGCTTAAATTATTGTAAAAGTTTTATACCGAACTATCAAAGAAGCAATTCTAATAAGAAATTCTGTTTGGTTATGAATTAACTTTTAAGGAAACTATAAATGGACTTAATATACAAATGTTGAGTTATTCTGAGAAACAATCAGAATTTTAGGATAAAGTGTTTGATCTTATGAGTACTGATGATGAACAATTATTTATTTATGTAAAAGATTTGTTAAGCTAAGATATTAAAAGATTTCATGATCAAAAATTATCATTGCTAACTTAACAATACTATTTACCTAAGATCTTACTTAGACCTGTCAGTTCTCCATAAGAAATATTAGATGAATTAGTAAAAATTGATTATCAAAGTTTCTAAATGTTCCAAGCTTAAGTGTTAGCTAGTAAAATTTAAATTCTTAATTTGGGAAATATTCTACCCAGTGATAGTGTATTTGAAGATTCATAGGAAATGTATATTACTAGAACATTGAATTTAAAGGGATAGAATCTAAAATACAAAGTTAAAAGGGAATCAAGCATAGATAATATGTCTTCAGTCTTAAATTACTATTAAACAGGTTTGAAGAATTTGGAAAACACTGCTAAATTATATTTCTATGCTGACTTCCTCCAATTATATGCTAATAATTATTTCCCTATGGGTTAATAGGTCACAATTAAAAGAAAACCATTAGGATGTGCTGATGGTCTCTAAATCTATCTTTAAGGAGCTAGTCCTAAAAAAGGAAAGGAATAGATTGATCAATTTTTAAAACAAGCTAACATTTATTTAAATAAATTGTTAGATGAAGAAATTTTAGATTAAAAGTCTCAAACAATAATCAAATTATCAAATGAAATTAAATTTAAGACTCTATAAGAAGAAGGGCAATTTGTTTGGGATAAAATAGTGAATAAAAATTATGCTTTTACAGAAATCTAAGATGTGATAAGATATTTAGATGAAGCCTTCCCTCAAAAGTTAAGAGAATGTCAAAATTTGACATTGCAAGGTTCAATTAGTGTCCAAGTGTATGCTGCATAGGAAGAAATTGAAAGCGATGACGGAATTCAGTAAATAGAAGAATTGACTGATTAAGATGTATATGAATGTTTCTTTTAATTATGAGTGATTTAGTTTTATGTATTTACCTAAATTCGTACATTAGAAAGAATTTATATAGCATATTTTATTGGTATATTATAAATTATATTCAAATCATGTTATCTTAATTAGGCACCATAATTTCTGCGTTTCCATAATCTCCAATTAATGGGACCATACTCTTGTTGAAATAGGATCTTGCTGCCATGGATTGATTATCTTTAACTGGTAAACTAAGCATATTTTTATCAGCAATATTGGTAACAATAAAGTTATTGGTGTTTGTATTTTGATTCAATTGCATTTGTTCTTCTTCTTCTTCATTTTCTAGTAGATTCTTCTTTCTAAAAGTATTCCTTTTACTAATCAGATTTAGATGTTTAATTTAATATTATTTTCTATATTCTGAGGCATTACTTACAGCTATGGTTTACAATTCCCAATTAACCTTTTCTTATGGAGGTAATGAATGATGAAATTAACTATGTTGATCTGATTTGTCTGACTGAATTTTAGAGGACTCTTAAGAGATATTATCTTATTCTTCTGATTGATTCATATCTGGTCCGCCTTGTTAAACTATTTTTTATTGTTATTCAACAACTATTTCTTCTTATTGTGGAACTGTTTAAATGAATTTGGCTAAGGCTTGCATTTCCATACTAAGATTGAGACTACTGTTTTTAAGATGTTCCAAATATTCAGGAATGAAATCAGTTGTTTTCATTTCTATAACTTTGTAATTGCTGGATTCGTTTTTTCTTTCAAGAACAGCTTTGATGTAATTATTCTGTAAATTCTCTAAGATGACCAATTTATCATCAAGAGTTTGTTCTCCAAAACGAATACTGAGAAATCTAACATCATCAAAGAATTGAAGTACACAACTAAAATTGTACTCTACATTTTGGATATTGTTTTTAATGAACTCCTCTCTATATTCCATAACTTTATAGAGATCTTTTACAAATTATTGAAATGATAAAGTTTTTAGGAATTGCAAGAAAAAGAGTTGATCTTGACTTTCAAACGAATTCAGAAATTTCTTATAATCAAACATAACAATCTTTTTCTCTGTTTTCTGATTTGATGTATCAGTACTAAAGTATTTATAGATATCATTTAACATGAGCAATTTAACATTATAAAATGCTTATCGATATTTCATTATCCCTTCTTCAAAAATTTCCTATTTTATTAAATATAATTACATTCTCATAGAATTTAAGATCTGCAAATACAGTGTTCATTTTTCGAATGAAGTAATTTTGATATTGTTTGGGGCATTTTGGATCATCTGACCTGGATAGAATGCGCCCATCATCAATATCATAAATTACTCGTTTTAATTCCTTTGGCAATGGTTTTTCAGACTAAATTTAATGAATTTATTTACTATTTCATAGAGATTTCTATCTAGACCAATGATATAGGGGAGTTGGGATTTATGGAAATCGAATGATCCAGGTCTTAGAAATGGGATAAAGAGACCTCGCCATTACAAAGGAGCAAGTAACTCGACTAATGATTGGCAAAATAATGTTATTCCTGCAGGTTTACGAGATACAATGATGATTTGATATTCAAGCATCATGTATAATAGTAATTTGTACAAATTAAAGATTGGCTAATTGAAAATTAAAACATCGAAAAGGTTATTTGACAACTTAAAAATAGAAAAGTGAGTTGCTAAATGTGAGTTGGAGACGTAGTAGTTCATCCAGATCTCAGAACTGCTGAACTTTAACCTATACTCTACGCTTGCTATTTATTGATATACAAATACTTATCTTATACTATTGGACATTGTGTCAATGCTGTTCGAATATAGAAATCGTATAGTTTGATTTCTTCAATCTAATATTCCTATTGCCCTCTCTTGATAGTTATTATTTTATCTCTTTCTCTGTTTTATGATAGCCGAAGCTTCTGGATTTTCAGCAATTGCATCACAAAACTTCGTTGGGGGATGAATGCAGGAAAACAAGATATTACACAGAAGGCCTTAGGCACAAAGACTTACATTAATTTATCGTTCGGAGGCATGATTATGAACATCTTCTCATAGAAGCAAGCGGATGTACAATAAAACTTGATGTGCTATTTGAAATCATTGATAACAAAGTAATTGATCTCATTTGTAGAAGCCTAAACGTCATCCTCCTTGAAATATTCTTCTATTTTATTAAATTTGCTATCGCCTTCTTTGATTGTTTTTACTCCCAAAGGAAAGCACCACTAAAAGATTAGAATTTCAATAACTATTACCAAAGCGATGTCTGCTAGAACGTGATTCATCTTACGTTCCACTGGATTAGGAAATATTGTAAGTATAGCGAGATCCTTCTTATTTGCAGTAGTACATGATTAAAGTATCACATCTACAAATAGATTAATCGTTTGTGATTACCTTAATCATTAGTTTTGATCCCTGTAGTCACAAAGAATTCAAATAGGTTGCCTAATTTCTCCATAAAAATTTAATAATAATCAATATAGTTTGGAATTAAGAATCAACTCAATGCAATCCTCAATTTAAATAAAATCATGGATTGAATAAGTTATAAAGTTGAATTGAATACTGTCTACAATCAATTTTAAAGTGGGTTTACTAATTATCAGTGTTTAATAAATATTTATTATTGATTCGAATTCTGTTACAATCTCAACTGCTAATTCAAATAAACAAATATTTTTCAGTTGATTTAAAGTTTAAATGTAATAAATGCAAATCGCACTCTCTTTATCACTAGTTTATTATTATTTTTATTGGCGCCAAATTAAATAATATATTGGATGGCAAACCTATTTGACGAAGAGTAAGGCTAATACTTAAGAATGAATGCTCTCAAATACCTTGAGAAACCACCAGAAGTCTAAAGAGAAGATGATCCATTTATTACTAATGGCTCTTTAGCAATCACATATATTCTAGTGGGAACAGTGGAGTAATATAAGGCAGATCAAGGGCTCAAATTTCAACCCAGTTATGTTCATCAGGTGTTTAGATCAACAAATGAAATATATGGATACAAAGATCTTAAGATTACCATTCATGTCACTGCACTTGGATTGAAGCCTTTCATTAAAGTAAACCCATTCAAAATACCTTACTATAGATATCCTATAGCGAGCAGACTGAAGATGCAGATGACTTATATGAGAGCTTTAATAAAGTGTATGAGGCGGGTTTCCTTTCTAGCGAAGAGCAGTTTCTTTAAGCCCTTGAAGAAGAATAAAAACAGGAGCCTTTAGGAGACTTAATTGAAGAATATGGAGATTTCAGAATATACAAGTGTCAAATGGCAACAACAAACGGGTTTGTCTAATTCAAGCCTTTTTTATAAGCATTTCTTTTGGTTTTAATTGATGGAGTTCAATATCCAGGAGATGAAAATGAATGGGTGTATTTATCATTATACGAAAAACGCCAATTTGTCGGATTGACTACAGTATACAAGTTTAATATTGGATGGAATAAGCAGAGACATCGCTTGAGTCAAATGTTATTCTTGCCATAATACCAGAGAAAAGGTCATGGGAGTAAAATGCTAAAGACTGTTTACAAATTAGGTTTGGAGGATGAGAAGTGTTTATAAATTACACTTGAAGATCCTTCTGAAGATTTTTAGGTGATGAGAGATATAACTGACTCGAAAATCTTGCATGAACATTTTAAAGATATACTCCCAAATAAGGTATTAAACAAAACTAAAATAGATTATCAATTCAATATAAGAAATTGGAGATATGCCTAAAGATAAGTTGTTTGAAATTATGAAGAAAACAAAACTTCATGCTTATTAAATAAAACGTGCTTATTCAATTTATTAGTACGCATTTGTGAACAAGTAAATTATTCAATTATGAAATCTTAAGAAAGTCTTCTAAATTGATGACAGAGTTTGCTAGGTATTTGCTGAGAGAACATTAAAAGCCTTATATCAGAAAGAAGAATATTTTAGTTCGATTTGAGGATGGCAGTTCATTGGATCCAAAATAAATGCACCTGCTTGAATTGAAGGAAAAAGAAGATAGGAATATCAATGCTGAGGAAAGTTTAGAAGAGGAGCTCTGTTTGTTTGAACTGATTGCTACAAAGTTAAGAAAGGACAAAGTTATTTGAAATTAGACATTATATTTTTATATATTTTTTATTAATGAACTTACCACTTGATTTCATAGATAGGATCTGGGGAGTACAGAAATTTCTAATAGAATTCTTAGACAGTATAGAATTATGTAAATTAATTAAGAATAATATCTAAAAGAGTTTACAAAAAAAATGAATCCGAAAAATTATAATTAAGTATAAAATAATTAAATTCAATGAGTTTTATGCAACACTTTGTTTCTCATTAGGTTCCTGAATGGTCGAATGCCTATTTGAATTACCAATTCTTAAAAGAAGTATTAGACCCATTTAAAAGAGTAACTAATTCTCTGCCAATCATCAATTTAACAATTAAACTTATCAAAGATTAAAATTTAGTTGCTAATATTCCATAAGAAATATAAACTAAGTTATAAATCTTAGACGAAGAATTTATACAATTGTTTTAAGACGAAACGAATAAATGCAATTAATTTTATATGATTCAGGTTAAAATATTATAGTATCAATACGAAACGATGATAGATTCTGAAGATGACCTAGGAAGAATAAAAACCTTGGAAATTCTCTATAAAAAAGGGTAATTGCTAAAATCATTCAAAAATTCTAATATTGAAGCTTCCAATCGAATTTTATCACTATATCACCAATATACAAGCTTTATTGATAATTCAGAAAGTCACATGAATCATTTCTTTAAGAATTTATAATTTGTTAATGATACTTCTTTGAATAAGATAGTAAAGAATATTAAAGCATTATATTTAATAAATGGATGGGATGGCAATGAATTAGCAAAGTTAAAACAATCACATGCAATACAACATAAACTCTAATATATTGGATTTCTTGGAGGGATAATACT